GCGATGATGTTCGTGAAGGGGACATCGTGGGGGGCGAAGTCCCGGGCGAAACCGGTATAGAAGGCGAAACCGGGGATGCCGGGCGCTCCGATGACGGCGAAGACACCGGTGGCGCAGGGGCAGTCGACGAAAACGCCGATGCCGGCGTCGCGGATGGCCGCAGCAGACGCGCGGCAGTCCGGGGGGTCTTGTTTGTCGAGCGGGACCTGCTAGAGCGACGGGCAGGCGACGATGTTCGAGGGACGAAGGTAGCCCGCGGCTGGCGTCCGAAATAGGCGGGACCGGTGACGGTGCCTCCGGAAGCAGCGGTAGTCTTGGCCCGAGTCCGTGAAGAAATGAGCGGTCCCCGCTCCGGAAGCGAAGACAAAACGTTCACATCCCTAGTCGCCGAAGACGCGACACGAGACATCACGCGGGACGCAGCAGGAGTCAACGGGGAAACAGGCCCGGGAGATCCGGGAACAGGCGAGACCATGAAGACCCCCGGAGACCGCCGAGAATCATCGCAGGCAGTCGTCGAGCCCGTCGGAGCATCCAACCGGCGCGGGTGGTGCCGGCGAAAATCCCCAAAATCGGAGGGCTGCAGCGCTTGGGGTGAAAAGACTCCCGCCGGGCAAGGAGGGCGGAGCCCACCCAAACCGACTTCCGGCATAGACGACGAGTGATAGTTGAGCCCGCAAGCCCGAATGAGGAAAGCACCCTCTTGATCTACACCATCAATGCAGTCGGGGGCGGTTTTGTCCGTGTCTTGTGCAAGTAAAGGCAGCCGCGAAAGAGAATCCACGTTGCCGTTCGCCGAACCTTTCCGATATTCCAGGGTGTAGGTGAAGTTGGACAGAAACTCGAGCCATCGTTGCACCCGAGCGTTGTGTTCCCCAACCTTGCCAATGCTCCCCAAGGCTTTGAGGTCCGAATAGATGATGAACTTGGTCGACCACAGATAATCGCGAAGGCGTTTGATGGCCCAAACAATGCCACCAGCCTCCAGATCAAGAACGGTCCAGTTACGCTCCGCAGGAAGAGTAGCGCGGCTGATGTACACAATGGGTCTCACCGAGCCATCGAGTTGTTCCTGTTCCAAGGAGGCACCGAAACCGTCGATACACGCGTCGGAACACAAACGGAGAGGACGGCTGTTTTCCTCGACCGCCGCCCAATCCGGGAAGACCAAAATCAGGGGGCGCGCGAGTTCGCTTAACAACGTTTTGACAAAAGTGGGCATGCCCGGGTGTACTTGAAGGGGACGCCTTGTTTGAGAAGAGCGTTGGGGGGGCTCACCTTGGTGGCGAGATTCTTGAGGAATTTCCGGTAGTAGCTGAGTCCACCGAGAAGACTCCGAATCTGTTTGACATTCGTCGGCGGCGGCATGTGTGTGAGTGCCCGAACCTTGACGCCATCAGGGCTGACGCCGGCCGGGGAGATGGTGTGACCGAGGAAGTTGGCGTGTGTGGCGCCGACGCGAGCTTTCCCCGGGGACAGTTTGACGTTGTACTGACGCAGCCGTTTAAAGAGTTCGATCATGTTGAGCACGTGTCTCAGAGGTTCCTCATCGAAACAGATGACATCGTCCAGATACGCAAGCACACGCTCCAGACCGTGCACCACTCGATTGATTACCTTGACGAACCAAGACGGACTGGCGTTGGCTCCCTGCGGCATACGAAGCCATTCGAACAGCTGCGTGGGAGTGCAAAAGGTCGATGAGCGGGACGGTGTCTTCGTCACAAACGATCTGGTGAAAAGCCGAGTTGAGGCCGAAGATGGAGAAAAATTTCCCGGTGCACAGAGAATCCAAGATACCGTCCACACGAGGGAGAGGTTGTCCACCCAATCCACCAGGGCATTTAGACGCTTGTAGTTGACGGTGATGCCACACTCCTTAGCAGAGGGTACAGTATTCCAGCTGGTCGTGTGTTTAAGTTTTGGTGGCCACAGGGGAGCGTAGATGTTGTCAAATGGTTATTGGGTGGTGGGGAGGCCTGTTGATGTGAGCTTGAATGCGGCCCGAGTCCAGAAGCAGCGCTAATAGTAGCGGGTGAAATCAGCGTGCGGCAGGTGAAGATCCGAATCGTGTTTGTTTGCAACCACAGAAAACATTTGGGCCATCATGTAAGGGGTTCACGTGTTCCAGGCCACCGTTCCCGTTGGGATGGTATATCGGTGCGCTCCCTCTTTACCCACGCGAAGTAGTTTGTATATGAGCACGGAGAGGGTGAAGCTAAATTGTAGTCTTCTTGGTTGTTCGAGAGGATGCATTTGAGGCAACCCCGTTTTCCCCAATTGCAAATTGGGGTTGGTTTCAGTCAGCGCTCTCCACCAGGAAAAGCAATATAGAAATCTTAATCTTGTTATCCTGCTGAAAATAAATGAAAAAAGCTTATGGCAATCCATGCATTAATCAAATGAAAAATATCATCGCAATCCATACATAAAAATCAAATGAAAAATGTCCGGAATTTCCGTACATTTCAATCAAGTCAAAAATGTGATTGCAATCCATACATTAATTAGATGAAAAATGTTGGTTAAACTAACAGAAGTTCTCCGCTCTTCTATAGTCTACCGATCCAATAAATCCGCTACTACCGGTGGCGTTGTCGCCTCACTACCGTTCTGGTCTCCGCCGTACTGTTCCAAGCGTGAGAACGAGTATCCTTGGACTCTAGCCACTCAAGCACACTGCGCACACAAAAGCAACAAAGTCCTGAGAAACTAAACCCTCCTTTTGGAGAGACACAAACGACAGAGGGAGGGCAGGCAAAGCACACCCAGCGAACTACTTCGAAGTATAATATACTTGTTCTTGTACATTTACATCATCTTCAACTTGCGTACAGTACGGAACCAATCAGGCCTCTCCGCTGAGGCATGGGGATAGCATCCATTCTCGAAGCCCCGTGGGTCAATAGTTCACAACCCTAACCCCAACCTTGTCGCCTATAACCTTGAGTAATCTGTTTGTGGAGAAAGCTACTCAAGCCAATCGCCTTGCCCGCCGAAAGACAGAAAGGGCGGTATGCGCGAAAGAGCATGGCCAATACAGTGACCAAAGGGAGAAGATGGTCGCCTTGCACCGACATGCGATGTCGAGGAGAAACAATGTAGCATAATTTCTTTTGCCCACCAAGGCCAACCCCCCCCCCCCCTCCCCCCTCGCCGCTGCACTCCGGACATGTCAGAACGGCTCTACAAAGTTCTCAAAATTGAAATCAAACCGACCTCGCACATGCTAAAATATGAAGTACGTTCTCTTGTAGACACCATATCTCCAAGCGCCTTGACCGCGCGCCAACCGTTCTTCTTTGTTGGAATTGTCACCAAGAATGCAAGCACCTCCCCTTACATACAGCTTGCCTAACGGGGATCGGCCTGTGGTCGGGGCAACCCGGACCTCCCCCAAGACGTCACTACTGTGACTTGATTCAGCCTATAGCCACTCAAAGGAAACGAGTGGGCAGGATAAAAAAAATGCGTTCAACTCTAGACAAGCAGTCCAAGCCCACCAATCCCGAAGGAAGCAAAAGCTGTCGCGAAAATTATCAAAATAACCTAAAGAACGAAGATGACACGACCAGTCACCCGCTGACAACCCCAACTTTGTTGTCCTCTATACTTCCGCCCCTTCCGCACTGCGGTTCCTCTCTTCGGTTCCGCCAAAGTCTCGTTATTGACTTGTGTAATTTTTATATCGCGTGCTGCCTGCTAGTCTTGTCTCGCCCTTTGAGAAACGACACCATGAAGCTCGCGGCCACCAACGCAACTGGTGGCTTTGCTGAAGCACTCCAGGTCCTTTCGACATCGTGGCTACACCACGTGTTCGCGAACCTATGTCCAGTTGTCCAGTTTCAGAACAGCTACAGCGGTCAGATAGAGCTGCTGTTTCGTGCTTCGCCGGTCCCAGGGTGCACACAGCGCGTATACTTAGTGTGACACCGCGTTGATCCCCCCCTCTCATCCCAGCCCAAAGATACCACGCGTAACCAGTACATGTTCGCCCTTTTAGTTCGTCAAAAAGACAAACTTGTGAAAAAAAAATGTACCAACACATACCGCATTTACTCTGGCAGTAAATCAAGCGTGCATGTACAAAATCAAATCAGCGGTTCCAGCTGCTCATCGTAGCGCCTGACAACACACGCGCGCGGTTCATCAGCTGAATCAACTGCTGCAAGATATATACCCAAGTTTTATCTGTTGCCCGTCAAGAGCCGCACTCGAACCTCTTGAACTAAGAAACGCGTTGCTCTTACTTCGTGTTCGTTCGTGGTGCCATCGAAGGGCCTCGCGAAGAACAGACCAAAATACAAAATCGGGCGGGTCCGAGAGAAACATTACCGGAACCCGTATAGCCAGGCCACTCTCTGTCTCCCGCGATAGGTTTCATTTTCGGTTCATGTACGCATTTTAATACTGTAGCTAGGACAAATCTTCCCCCCTTCAGGCATGTCTGATAGGGGACAAATATAAATATGAACAGAGGTCTAGGCATAAAATTGTCGTCTTATCCACATGAAAGCAGCAACAAAAAACACCTAGCAGGACGGGAGCGGAGGAAAGTGCAAGAGGTTCCAACCAAGAGACTCGACGGAACCCGATGCTTGTGCTTCCCCAGTGGCTGTTTCTCCTCGCCGGCACTCTACACTCTACAACAACCAAGATAGAAGATAAAAGCGCCGCGCAAGAGCGTTATCAGCTTCTCTCCTTCTCTCGTCTTAGCGGAAACCTAAGTTAAGAGCGTTGTGCATGGTTGGGGCAATGGGAGCAGGGAAAAATCAACAAGGCGTCAGATACCACAAGAGTGCGCATCTTGGCAAGGTCTTAAAATATACAGAACAAACACTCCATGCAGCCCCATCTCAGCGCCACTTTTTCATCGATTCCAACATGAGATCGATTATCTGTACATGTAGTTGCGGCTACTTCATTGTTAAATACTATACGAATGGGGATGTTGTTCTTCGGCATTCGTTTTCTCTCCAAGTTCTGATTGGTCTGGTGTTCTATATTCTACTCTTAAGCGCTCTTCGTGACTGAATGAAAGATAGATGCGTCGATTCCCCACAAGAGCGTACGTTTTTCTGCACAGAAGCCGTGGTAGTGGGAAGCGAACCTGGCATACCTGCTACCGGGGCTTGCGGCCGTGCGCTCGCGCCGATCCTGTTGAAGTATGTGCTGTGGGCAATATTTGCGCTGTGGTCGGCGTGGTTGTGCCCTGGACCCATGTTGTGCACGTAGTTGCTGTAACTGTTGTGATCGATACCGCTGTTGCTCATCATGCGGTGGTGGTGAGTGGGAGGTGGAGCACGAGCAGTGGAAGAAGCGTGATCGTAGTGACCCATGGAGGCCCCACCGTTGCCATCCTCGCCATCGTCGTCATCGTCATCATCATCTTCGTCGTCGTCTTCGTCTTCGTCTTCGTCTTCATCCTCTGCTTCCTCCTTTTCCTCCTCTTGCACCGCGTACCCATGAAATAACGCCACCTATGAAGTTTATTGAAGTCCGAACAGGTGCGTCAAAAATCTGTATCCATATGCAAGTACTGAACTTCTTACACATCCAGAGCGTCTTTGATTATGCAACGATTGTCAGGGGGGTGAAAGCACGCAAGGTCAAGAGGAGGGGTGCGAACGGGTCTCTCGTTGTACCGTATTTCGCCTGACCATCGCCGTATCGAGTCACCAATGAGATCGCTGGCTTCGTTTTCAAGAAGTCCATCTTTATATTATCCCCGGGGACATATTCTTAGACAGGTATTCGGATTTCGAGTGATGTCACCCCCTCTCCTACATGTAGTTCAACGTGTGTCTCTGCTACATAAGTCGCTTGCAAACCGTATTTGTTTTCCCGCCGCAGCTCCCACGGAGATTATTTCGGGCGTTCGGCCCACAAGTATGGTCGTGAAGAACATTGTTGTAATTCATGACGATAAGTTGGGGTTGTTGGGGTTAGGGAAAAGGAGAAACCACCTCTTCCGCGTATCGTATAAGGGAAAGGGCTATAGAACTACATAGAAATTCTTAGCTCCTCCAACACAATACGTGTTTACTCGTAGAGATTCGAATTGCGGGTGTAGACCGAACCATCGGTTGTGCGAGTTATGTTGGATAACAGGAGAAAGTGCTACAGTGTTGCCCCACCTCCTGCAAGATCATGTTCCGCAGCTGTTCTTGGTGCATGGGCTCACTCTCGAAGTCAAAGTCCAAGCCTGGGGCCACCTCCGGGTCGGGGGGTACGTGGATCCTCCCACTACGTTTTTGGAGAAGGAGAGAACACGCGAAGGGCGAAAGCGATGATGAGAGAGAGAGAGAGCGCGCAACAGAGATGTAGACAACAAAGGGAGGGGAGGCAGAAAAGGGATGGGGGGGTGATATAGGCAGGGATGACAGACAACGAGAGAGAGAGAGAGAGAGAGAGAAAGAGAGAGAGCAATGGCCGGAACACGATTGAGCAGCACACCGTGGAAAATCATTCTATTCGAAGGAACGTAGACATGGTTCTAAACGGCGGACGTCGGTCGTCGTAACTTTACCTGAGAGGTTGAAAGTATCGGTGGCTGAGGGCCTCGTCCGCCGAGAAGCGGCACGGGGGGTCGAAGACAAGCAGCCTTTCCAATAGGGCAAGTGAGGCTTCCGACGCGTTCGGTAGAAGGTCGGCGAAGGGCACCTGGGATTATAAGTTGAGGCAATGTTTCCAACGAGCGTTAAAGTGCTTTTGGGGCCGTTGATAAACAGCACTCGATTAGACATTACCGGGGTAGCCAGGAGGGTACAGCGGAAAAGATCTGGCGAAAAACAACGCCACGAGGAGAGCGTCTGACGTCGGTGCTATGTCCGTACCTGCATCGTTTCAGCTGAAACCAACAACACAAACCCCAGTGTTTCCCACCAATGATCGGATGCCTTATTCTGCCTTCGGGTCACGCCCGTGACTGTGCGCGACCCTTTTCTACCCTCGTTCCGATAAACCTTTATGAAAAGGGAAAACCATTGCGACGGCGTTCAGAAAAACTCTTCTTCACTCCATAGTTCTTTCGGTGTGGGTTCCGAACGATAGGAGTAACTGTCGCCGCAAGGTGAGATTGTAGTCTAGCTTCATGTCACAGCATTGAATACTCCACAATTCGCAGGGACTTGAAGCATGCTCACCTTAACTCGGCCCTGCATCGACTCCAAGAAGCGGATTGCCTCGGGATTTCGGATGTGAGCCACCTCGTGCGGCTGGGGTGACCCCACAGCATCGAAAATGAGTGAAAGCTGTTTCTTGAAATCCTGTGACAGGGCGAATAACGGGGGGGGGGGGCGAAGGATGGAGTATTTGTCCCGTGTTTCAGCCCCTTCTTGTTTTGTGTTTTACGTATCGAGGGAGAGGAAACCTTTTGAGGTGGGGATAGGGGGGTAGCCAAATTCTACCGGTGCATGGACCCCATTGTACGAAGCTGCATCTTGACGTTTTTCACGCTTCACGTGCTTTGGATGGCGCGGCGAGAAATCGAGGCCGTTGAAGATCTGCCGCAAGGATCTGGCAAGCACGAGCTCTTGGCAGGGAAGCAGTTCGGTAGAGGTACGGCCGACCAAGAAACACGGCTGGACGGGTCGAGAACAGGGGTACCCGAGAAGAAAAAATAGTTAATTCGACGGGAATATGAAAAAAATGAGCAAACAAAATTCGACAAGAAAAACACGGAGAATATCAACATTTTGAAAAGAAACACGGAGAGGGTAAAGAAAGAACGTTCTGCAGAATGACGGTGGCAGTTGAAATCAAACTTCGGGGAACGTACTAGTCATCGAGCTGCGTAGATCGCCTTCCCACCAGACACTCGACTCGGTATTGTCTGTTAGTACGGCAGGAGGTTGGACTTATTTGAACTTCATACATTTTCACCGAAATTCCAGTTCTACTTGTTAGATTAGGGAAGAAAAGGTGTAGTCGGAGAACTCCCTAGTGTTATTGGGCGGTAGGGGTACAAGTTGGGCGTAGGCTTTGCAAGATAGGATTACCTGGCCGGGGAAAAACGGCTGGCGGCCTAGCATCTCGGCGAATATGCAGCCGACGCTCCACAGGTCCACAGCGTAGCCGTACAGGCCGTCGGGGCAGAGCATCAACTCGGGCGGGCGGTACCACCTGGTCACGGCAGTCTCGGTCATAGGGTTGTCCACCTGGGTTAAGGATAGAGGGTCAGGGTCCTGTTCTTCAGGGGACGAGTCGAGCTCGGAGGTGCGATACGGTCTTCTTGTCACGGCGATCCCGATCATTGTGATGAGACTTTTGGAGGCTGTAAGGAGTGAGAGAGGCAGGCGTTCCGCCAACTCGATCCAGCGCAACAGACCTACATCAGTGTGGTACATGGTCCACCTACACTCCGGTTGAAGTGCTATTCAACGTACTCTTCTGCAAACCCTGCGTCAAGGCGTTTAAGTTCATCAAGTACTTCGTTGTCGGGGTTCGAACCTGAAGCGTTGGCCTTAACCAAGCCAGGATACTTCGAAGTATGGATCATCACGGTTTGGGTCTTAAACCTTGGAAGACATGGTGCTCAGACCGCATCCTTTCTGTGATAACCGTCGGCTAAGACGAACTTTGAATATCAATAAAAAAAACAACTTGACCTAACAAGCATTTTGTGTCGTACAAACTGCTAAGTACCTCATTGTCGGGGTCGGGACCTGCACCCGTGGGCCTCAGCCTCGCCAACCCGAAGTCGGTGATCCGCAGCTGGCACCTCTTCGTGGCTAGGATGTTGCTCGGTTTGAGATCACGGTGGATGACGCGGTTGTCATGGAGGAACTGCGGATACGGGAAGTTGAAAATAAAACAAGAGAAAAACGTGTTTGTCACAACGTGAACTATATGTCCCTAACGTACCGAAACAGCACACGCGTTAGGCTGGTCAGATGCCATCAGCTTGCAACTCTACAACAGATATCCTGGGAACCGGCGGTTACTGCGTTGCTCTTAGGTGTATCGGTTTTGATGGGTAACCGTGCGACCAGACACTAAGCACAAGGTCAAATACAATCTTCTGAGGCAGTCATGAGGTGGGAACGAACGCGACGCTCTACAAGTGGGCTAGGGCACCAGTACCCTTTGTCCTACACAAAGAGATCCCCAGACAAAATCGTCGCAATACCAACGATAAATACTCTTGACACGTCTGATCGGGCTTGGCGTTCTTACTGACAAAGAGTCTGCACGGAAAAACAAAATGTGACCGATTTTCGAACAGTCGAAATGCCTGCTTGTTTATTTGCACTTAAGTCCAAATTCGATTTGCTTCCATTCCAACCACCAACACCAGCCGTTGACTGACCTTGACCCCCTTGAGAATCTGGAACATGAAGTAGCGGTGGTGTACGTCATCGAGGGGCTGGTTGGACTTGTTGATCACGTAGTGGAGGTCGCAGTCCAAAAGCTCCATGACGATGTAGAGCTCGTCGTATTGCTGGTTGACCAACAGGTCCTCCAGGGAGACGATGTTCGGGTGAGGCTCGAGATACCTGGACGGGGGATGGCAATGTTTTAAGGTCGGTACAGGTACCCTGCTACCCTGCACTGAGTGTGGGTGCGTGTGCTAGACTGTATTTTCGATGGGCCCCATCGTCTCGGAATTCGTTCTTCAAACGTGCTTGACGAATCCGCGGCGACCAAGTTCGCGCTTACACCACCAGGAGGAGTCCACCTCAGGGTACGCACCAAACGTGTACTGTACATCAGATGCTCCTCATTAATGCAGATACAAGCACTGTGAAATACAACAAGCGGGGATAGATGGCTCTGATGCTGTGGTTTAGATTTGCAACGGGTGTGGGTATGCCCGAGAGACGTGCCCGAAAATAGGGCAGCGGTTGCCAAAGGATAGGATGGCATTTGAAAACAAGCGTATCTTGTGTGTGGTGATACGCCGATTGGTGCGCCGTAAACGTGAGCGTGCCGTGCTCCTTAGGGCATGACGCGGTTGCCGTATAGAGCACAAAACACACCTCATGAGCCTTATCTCGCGCAGAGCGTGCTTGGCGCTGACGACGTCGCGGGACATGGGGAAGACCTTCTTGATGGCGACTCGTTTCCCCTGACGTTGTCGTCGGTCGCATCAAGTTGAGATGAAAAGTCCGTGAGATTAGCATGCAGCTGGTTGTGTCATAGGATGGGTGGGACACAGGCGAACTTTCAAAGCACCATGAGCAACAAACCGATTGTGTTACGAGCGTCGCAAAAAATGAGATTGCGGAGCAGAAAAAGAACAAAACGCCGCAGATTTTTCTCTTCCTTTGCCTTCCGTTGCATGGAAGAAGAGCCTAGCCTTAGCTCTATCCCTCCCTACGGGCCGTGGATTACCTGCTGAGAGTCCAAAGCCGAGCAGACTTCTCCGAAAGAGCCTCTACCGACCACCTTGAAGTTGCTGAAGCGTGGTCCAAGATGAAAGTTGTTCTCCATTGCCGCGGCGGCGGCGGCGGCGGGGTGGGCGGGACCATCCACCACCGCACCGTTGTTGTTGTTGTTGTTGTTGTTGTTGTTGTTGTTGATGATGACGTTGTTGCTCATGGCGAGGTTGTTGAACTGGGGCGGCGCGGTACCGGCGCCGGCAGCCCAGCTCACACCATGACCGTGATTCATGTCGTCGCGTGCACCCGTAAAAGCGCGACTGGTGTCTAGAGGTAGCCTTTTGTTTGGGCCCAGTAGCCACTTGTATGTCGACGTGTATCGTGCTGTCGACCTGTTTTACGTTAGCCCAGATTCCGGTTGCTTCTCGTGCGCAGGTCGAGCAAGACAACTCCCGTTAGCCCTTCGGTAGTGCTGCGGCGGGCACGTTCGGAGAAATAGGTGGTGCAGAACCGTACAAGTTAATTCATCCATAGTAGGTGCGCGTTGACTCCGAGAATGGTGAACCACCCTTCGCTGTCGGACCTTCCATCTGATGCCACCGTCTCCAGTTGTACTACAAGGTCGCACGCTACAGGGACGACACAGACACGATAGATCCTCGAGAAGACGGTGTCCAACAACCTCATCATCGTTCATTCGCAATTTTTCTACTCCATCGCACTTGTCCTCCAAAAACCCAAAAACTGACTACCTATGTCATATAAGGGTACGTGTATCATCCCAAGCGATTGGCCGCTGATTACGGGGATTATCGGTTCATTGCTCTTTAGTTGTTGCCCAATTGTAAAAAAGCGGGGTCTAAAGTAGGACTTAATGGCATGCGTCAGAACGCGACGGGACGGGGCCTACTCTCCCTCGCAGGACGGTACACACAGCCAGTACATCGTCAGTTTGATCCCGTTCGTGATTTTGTCATCCCGTCCCACATCATTGTTACCATCCCGCTCGTTTTCCAGTCTCTCTCTTGCCTAAAATACCCCGCCCGTGTTGCTCTGGTCGCAGTCAATATGTCGGTCTGACCCATCCAACTGCTATCCTCTCTCTGCTAGAATCTTTTTATGGCACACACACACGCTTCCTGTACCCGAGAATGAGCAAAAATAGGTTGTGGGAGCTATATATTTTCTGAGGTTGTTTGCAACCCTTGGCGACTTCCATTCGATTGCAGTGACTATGTCGTCTTTAGAAAGATTGCAAACACACAAGGCGTCTCCTGGTTGCTGTTGGAATTCTTGCTTCCGTGAACTTGCGTTTGTGTACCTTCGCGATCGTGCGCACACATGTAAGAATTTGGAGCGTTTTTTATCCAAGAGACAATTCTCAAGGAGGAGGTAAAGAACGAAGTCAGAGTGACTCCGCCACGTAACATCATCGGGTAAATACAAAATACACCGCCTTGAGGAGGGAGGTGGGATATTGATTTGCAATTATTGCTCCTCGGTGGGAGGAGGCGGAGAGGAGAACATAAGAGAGTTTAAGAGTAACAGCAAACAACGCACGTGGAGCACATCGTAAACCCGAAAGGGGTCTAAGCCTAACCCCCGTCGAGTCGGGTGGAACACCTTTCGATTACTGGGGGATGAGCGGCACAGAAAGAGAGTTCCACGAGCGGGTACTGTATAAAACCAAACCCCCTCTCGCCTGTCTGAATCCAAAATTCAAAATATTACTGTTAGGCGAAAGAGTTTCCGGTCGGACCTCGCGGTGAACGAAGGCTGCAAGAACCTAGAAATTTCGGCATATGTAGCCGTGCTGGGCGAGAGCTACTGTCCACAGCAGTAGACTACGACATACTGATATGTGTTGCCGCACTTCAACCTGGTCTCTCCGACTGACCCTCTTTTGGTTCGCCGTAGACAAATATCCGTAAAGTTCTTGTACGTGTAAGTCTACATGGCCTGTTTACCGTCCACGCGATCCCAACCGAAAGCTAAAAAGGAGACGAGACTTCCTGTACTCACAAACGAGAAGTAGGGACCGTTTCTGTCGTACAGGCAAAGAAAGGTCCTGTGTCAGTGGTGCACATGTAGGCAAGACAGTGCACCTTCTATGATGTGTCAAATAGACGAAGAAAGGGTGCCTGCCAGGCCGACGAAAACAACACATCGTGTCACACACATCAAAGGCTGTTGCGCATAAAAACACGCATTGATGACTGCTAGCTGGTACACGTCCCTGCCGCTCGCTGTGTGTATTGCATAGGCTTAGGGTTAGGGTTAGGGTTAGAGGTTTAGACTATATTACCCAGAAGGATACCTCAAGATCGATGCCAATCCCTCACGTGCCTCACTTACGTACCGTGGATCCACCGCCGCAGCAGTACCGGAGTCTCCTGTCTACATGGAGAAGCACCAACAGAAACGAAGAGGCCATCGTATGTGTGTACATCATTGCATGCTGCAGGTGTATCTGAAAACTCCCACGTGTCGTTCGGTTGGTTCACACGGAACACTATTATGAAGCCGCACCTTTGCTGGATGGATCCTGTTGGACCGGCCTGCTGCTGGGCTGGATCCTGCTCTCTGCTCGAAGAGCAAGCAGGTTTCTTTGCTGCCAGCCGCGTCTCTTGTTGGACGGTGGCGGGTTGTTGTGTGCGCGTGCGTCAGCTGGGCACGAAGAATCCGGATGACTCGCACCAGTCAAGCGGGGTTGCGAACTTGACCCGTTGTGGTTCAATTTGCACTTGAAGAATGAATGCGAAGTGAGGATCGGTTCTCCTCCGAATCCAGTCAGTCCGCCGTGTTTTTTGGCGGGGCAAATGTTTTCTCAAAGCACGACTGCGCGACTGCGCGCGCGCGTGTGGGGCGCACACCAACCGGCCAAACGGCCACTCGCCTCGTCTGGCGACAGAAAAATTGACAGACTCTGACTCTGCAATACGTACCTCGTGGGCTGTTTCGACCCTCACCACTCTGGCCGCTCGAGAGCAGGGAGGGGGAGATCGGGACGGGGGCACAGCTGCACGCGTGGACCACCATCGGATCGGATCCAGGATCCTAGATCACCCACAGAAGCTGGCTGAAGGTGCGGCGCAACCCAGGCACGCACGCACCCACGCACGCACGTGTTTGTTGGGTGTTGCAGGATCGGCCAGCTGCTGGTGCTGTTTCTCCACGCCGGCTCTCCCCCTCCCGTGCGTATGAGTCGGTTGCGTGTGCATGCCCGAGGCTGTGAAGTACGCTCGGGTGCCTGGAAGTAAACGCAATATATGTCTAACCGTTCGTAGCGCTGCTGCTTTGCCACCTGCCCATCAATTCCTCCAAGTCCCGCCGCATTTGCCGCACACGACGCTCCGTTATCCTGTGTTTCAGTCTCCCTCGCGAGGGCGAAGTAGCGCAGCAGCAGCAGAATGGTCAGCCGAGATAGAGCGGCGACGGCGGTGGGGTTGCCACAGCATCAGCAGGAGGGGGAGGAGGGAGGGGGCGGATCTGGCGGCAACGGAGGAGGCTCTATCGCGGTACAAGGTGGGGCTGGTGGGAAAGGATCCCTGGCGGAATCATCGTACTCCATCATGAACAACACGTTCAGAGTCGACTCGCGCTACAGCGGCCTCAAGGCCATTGGGAAAGGATCTTTTGGCTTCGTCTGCTCGGCGTTAGATGAGAAGCAGGTAACTCGTGTGCCAAGGCACTCTGTACAGCAGTGGCGTGGTTCCATACCGCATGCTGTCCGCTACCATGGTTGTTTCTATTGTTGCTGTTGCGGTTGCGGTCATCACATAAAAAAACCGTTCCGATCTATCCTCGGCTGCTCCTCAGTACCTCGTGCGGTGGTACTGCTGTAGACTGCTGAACTCTTCCAAGCAGGGAAAAACCTCCGATTTTCGTGGACACCGCCTGGGTTGCTGTTGCTATTTGTCTTTACTTCAGCAACCGTTCCGATCTTTGCTCAGTACCTTCCAACATCCGAGTCACGCGTCTTTGGATCAACACGTCCACTACGTACTGCCGTTCCGCAAATAGGGTACATTGAACAACAGAGATAATCAAGCTTCCCAAATAAGGTACAAAAAACCGGACAGCAGTCTCACCGATCTTTGGAACATGTGTATGATTCGTACGATGGTGTGTATGTGTACTGCTGTAGACAACCGAAATTGATCTGTGGAATGTCTACAGCAGAGTATGTATGGTACGCGCCGACCACTTTTTTTATCATCAGTGTAAGAAACTGGCAGTGTGAAAGAAAACAAAATCAATCCCAAAATGGACCGACGTGACAAAATAGAAGATAAGTTCTCAGAGGCAACAATTCTACCTGGTGCACGAATGAATCGACAGGCTAAAAAGAAGTAACGTTTTCCTCGTTTTACATTACCCCATTCGTGCACTGTCTGTCCCATGTATCCGTGTATGTACAGCAGGAGACAAAAAAAAAACGGGGTTGTTACAATATTATAGTAGATTTTCCTACATGGGTTGCCTCGATTGGTACAGTACCCCGATCTATCTATTGAGTTTTTCCTACCCATCGGCCTCAGTGTGTTGCTTTTCCAACGGAAGAGGGTTGTCGTCCGGGGTCAAAACATGCCGTCATTTTTTTGCCATCAAGAAAATGGATTAATCACTTAAAGGTGATACAACCTCGAAACGTGGGAGAAACTCATGCTTCGGCGAGAATCGAATCCACAACTTATGATATGTCCACGAGAGAACCCTTCGTACCACACCAAGGGGAAAAGTCATTCCACTCATCTGGATCGCTTGTCTAATACTCTTGAGCTGGTTCTTTCTCCCACTCGGTGATGATTTTGTCAGGTATGAACCCATTCCGCCGCTCGTACGCTCACTCGTACTCAGGTGTACACAAACACAATCCGCCGCTCGTACTCCACAGTGCACATGTTTACGATGCAGAGCATACTACTGGTCTCTTGTTTTGCTCAACATTCCGTCCACACCGCTCTCGTTTGAACACAACCGTTTGTCGTTTGTGTAATGGCAGGGAAAGAAGGTTGCCATCAAGAAGATCCACCCCATGGCCCAGCACGTCGTTGATGCCAAGCACGTTCTACGCGAAATCCGTCTTATGAGGTATGGTAGGGCCCTGGTTTGTGCCAAGTTGCGCTGTGCCCGATGACCATTATTGACAGTGGGTCACCTCTTCGTAATCCTGTGAGCGTGATGGTTGGAGGAGGGAGTGATGTTGACTAAGAAGTGCACGTCAAGGAGGCAGCTGTGTAGCTTGTCACCGTTCCTTCACTATAAAAGTGGTACCTAGATGTCGACGGTGACAACAGACGTCACACACTACATACCCACAGACAAAACAGGTTCCGACGTCTTTCCTCGCCCACCCCGCGATGCAGTCGCACCCGTCTAAACAGAGTGCTTAGGGAAAGGCCTTAGCGTGGTGATGGCCCTTCCTACTAGAGAGCCCACGAATTGTGTTTTTTGCGAACTGTACCTGTTTTCTTACCTGGATGGTTATGCAAGAAATAGCTGCTTGCGCCTCAGGTACATGTTCCACCGTTGGTCTCCCCCCCGTGCTATATCTTCGACGAAGCGCATATAACCTGATACCTGGTAGACTACGCCGACAGAGAACCAAGTAGTGCCCACAACGTCTACTAGTAAATAATGCTTTTACTGCTTTGTGTACACCAACACCCTTGGTGCAGGTATCTCGGATCGCACCCGAACATCGTGTCTCTCGAAGACCTGTTCATCAGCGAGCACTACGACGAGCTGTACATCGTGATGGAACTGCTAGACTCCGACCTCCACCGGATCATTCAGTCGCCTCAGGCGCTGGGCGATGCCCACCACCGCTACTTTATGTTTCAACTCCTCAAGGGGGTTAAGGTTAGTCCAGGAATATTTTATTGTTGTTGTTGTTGTTGTCGTGGTGGTCGTGGTGGTGTGGTGGTTTCAGCTGATATCAGTGGACTGTCATTGTCGGCGTTGTTGTACGTCCAGAAAGAATAGTACCGATGATTTATTTCCCTGTTGCTCTATCTTCCTTTTCGATGCTTCACGAATTGTGTTTTGGGTAGTTCATGATCAATATTGTCAACCACGTGCCTCCTCGTGTACTGTCTTGCTTTGTTAGTCGCCCGAGAGAGGCCTGACGTATTAGGTTGTAGCGCGGCAGCCATTTCAAGGATCATCTTTGAGGAAACGGGTGAACTATTTTGCGTTCTGCTCTACTTCGGTGCCATCCATTGCAAGCCTATTTATGAGCATCCTGGCCCACACTCTAGCAAGCGGTAGATAGAACTAGCTGTGTACAGTAGTGGAGTACCAACTATTACCATTTGTGTTGATTGTTTATGTTCGCTCTCGTTGTTTTCAATGTTTCGTTCTGCAGTTTCTCCACAGCAATCGCATCATCCACCGAGATCTGAAGCCTGGCAACGTGCTCGTCACCAAGAACTGCCACCTAAGGATCACGGACTTCGGGTTGGCGAGGCTGAGGCCCATGGGCAGAGGCACCAATCCTGATGATGAGGTGTTTCAATACTACTGCTTCAAATTTGCTTTTGAAGAAATTGCATGCACATTTGCTGTGCTTGAAACCAAAATTTATGGGTGGTACTTGTTTTGGTGTATGTTGACTTGGCGTGGTCATTGAAGTATGTTGAGGAGCATTTCCCTAAAAGAACTTATTTGGTCCAAAAAACAATTTAATATCGGGCACAGTTAGGTGACAATACAGTATCACACGCCCTGGAACAGTTCCTTTGAGAGAGCTTTCCGAACACAACTCGTTTGATTTAGAAATCATCTTCGTCGTGGAGCAATCGAGCTTTGAAAACCGGCCCAGGGGGTGTGACATTTCATGCGCTAAGGTAGCCACACCGTATGCATCTTGGTTTGCGTGAGTCCATACACCGCGAAGCCTGTGCAATCCCTTGCGAAGCACCGTTCCGTCCCTTGTGCTTAGCACCTTTTCGTGACTCTCCCAAGTGTGCGTATATCGCACCGTGTCCTCCTCCTGTTGCTCCACACCAAAAGGTTGACCACCCCATGACCGAGCACGTGGTTACCCGCTGGTACCGCCCCCCCGAGCTGATGCTTTGCCCCGACGGCCTGTATGGCTACGCGGTGGACCTGTGGAGCGTCGGCTGCATATTCGCCGAGCTTTTGGGCCGCCACCCACTCTTCCCCGGAAAGGTGTGTGCCTTACCTTACCACTATGTAGCACCCCCGGCAGACACCCTGTCCCCCCGTCTCGAAACCAAAACGTTTGTGCTGGCAATGGGCAAAATGACGAGGACAAGACCACGTGTAGGTATATCGTATCCTATGTTTGACGGGCTCGTCGTACGTTTCGTCCCGGTAATGGTGCACGTGCGCCCTGACGAAGACGTCGTCGAGATCTGTCCCAGGATGGTTACTGTCAATAGACTTACCCGCACAGAATCAAATGGCCCGTATGCACGGCCAACATCGTTACTGTTCGTTCTGGCGAAACTTTGACGGTTGAAGAACAGCGCTTTTCGCAAGTCTGTATTAGCCAACAGTTCCAGTGGTATAGGATTATTCGAAGTTCGAAAATATCGTCTTGAACGCTACCACCAACATTTCCCCCGGGCTCCGACAGGTGGTTGACTTCTCATCGTAGCTTACGGTGCACCGGGATTTGGACTTTTCCTGCAACACACCGCGGCATGCTCTAGGCTTTGATAGCGAGAGTAACGGCCCAACCCCTCTTGTGTCTTGAAGTCTTGACGTCAAGCTCTAATAATAAGAACGGATGTATTGTTACCAGTTGTAGGCAAGAGTTAGCGATGATCAAACAAGGCGTTCTGGATTCCTCGCCCTTTTGTTTGGTGGTGATGTTGCGATCACTTTGAACCCTGTAGAACTCAGTCATGAAGCAAACTCCCGTCTGCCGCCCCTCTGCTGCCCGTTCCCCAATGCTCGTCCCCTCTATATTTCCTTGTGTTTGTTTTGTTCTTTGCAGAACTTCATGGACCAGTTGACCCTCATCTTTGACCTAGTGGGGTCGCCAAAGCCCCACGAGGTGTCTCACATTCGTAACTCTCAGGCGAAGAAGTTCCTGGAGACCATGCAGGACAGAGTAAAGGTATCTCATCTCAATACGTGCAGGAAATCGTGTTCGACGTAGTTGTTTTTGATAACTTGGTAAAAAACATGAATTTCTGCTTCGAAACTCCGTTCATGGTTTTCAATTTGCGTTTTCTTTGCCGTTTTGGCTCTGATATATCTTGGATGCACCTGTTGTACGGCCTTTCGTGTTTCTCTGTTGCTTCTTTGTGCAGCGCACAAGGTATCAGTGCAGCCCTCTAGTCCTCTGATCACGCATGTTCCCAATGCGTTAGTTTGCCTTATTCGGTCAGTTCTTGGTTGCCCCCACTTCCGAATCTGTAGCTTCAAGAACGTCCACCTCTGCACGGCCCCATTAGTGTACGCCTTGATAACAACATGAAGAAAGCGGTACCAACGTCTCTGTTAAGCATGTGTATCTTTTGCTAAGATATTTTCCAACAGCTTTCCGTTTTTTCGCGTCCCTGTTGTCTCGTGAAGCGTCTCCGATTTGCGTTGCTTCCTTTTTTCTGAAACAAGCGTGGTGCACCCTTCGATGTCCTCGCCCTCATTGATCTCACGTTGTGCATCATTCTTTTAGCGTCTACTGACCTTATTTGTTCTTCGAGGTCATTGAGGGTCCATCGCTATACGTTGTCTGTTACCCGTTTAGGTGCCATACGCGGAGCTGTTTGCTGGTGCTTCTGAGCACGCCATCGACCTTTTGGAGGGGCTTCTTGTCTTCCATCCCCCCTGCCGACTCTCTGTGGACGAAGCTCTGGAACATCCCTACTTCCATCCACTCAGGTCGCGGTCCTTGTTTATTCATATTGTCTAATGGGATCCGCAATTTTTCCTTGAAGAGTGCAGCATTCGAGGTAGTTCGTAGAGGCCAGATTGGGCTGCGATTATGAAGTCATCAACAAGAAACGGACTGACAGAATATACAACGAAATGCGGTGGCAACTGTCATATACTTCCAAAAAAGGCACCAGCGACAAGGACGGTCGACAGTACAACCACAGAAGCAGTGGGAAAAAAGAAGCACCCCTAAGAGCGCTCTATAAGGACCAAGACAATACGCCACCACGACACCCATTAACCCGTACTCAATACGGTATCCAGGGTTACAGACTTGTCGGCAGGCCCTCTCGGGGGATATTTTATACCACAACGTATATGCCATACATGGATTTTGGGAATTGAACACCGCACCGGGGCGACCGAACCCCGTTGGCCTCTCTCATCGAATACTGTGCCTCGACCCTTTCTTTTCTTTCACATTCCACGCCTTTTGTCAAGGGTATACCCACGGTGCGCATCTCCTTGCCTATTGATGTCTCCTTTGCATGACCCTAACCCTAGCGCCGAATCTTCATCCTACCTGCGAAAGGAAACACCAATTAACCCCGACCTCGCCTGGCTGAACTTCTTGCCGCACGTCTTGCGCTAGCCCTACCTATTCCCCACCTAACCCTAAGAAAAGGGACACCAGTCCCAACCCGGAAATACAACTGCGATGATATCTTTATCTCGATCCGGCCCCAACGTTTACCTCAAGCACTTTTGGCCCCGTCTCCAACCATGAAGCTTCACCGTACTCCTGCCTCTGTCCCTGTCCCTAACAGAAAGAGCGACACCAACCCCGACCCAGACGTGTCGCCCGGGTTCGAGTTCGACTTCGAGAGCAAGCCGCTCTGCAGGGTACAGCTCAAGAAAATGATTCTAGCAGAGGTGAAGAACAACCGCTCCAATAGCATGCAACATCACCTTGCTTTGATGAAGAGTGAGGCCAGGGACAGGCACGACTCTGCATATCACACAGATTCGGAACACAAATTTAAACTTTGAAAAAAGCATTAGACTGGAGCGAATGTCAACGGCGGAGGAAGGGGTGGGGCCCTACCTATAGCTTGAAATATGCTCAAATCGCATGGAATCGACTTCAATTTTGAGAGGGATCGAGGATTTCGCTCTGCTGGGGTGCATGTCACACGAAACAATAAATTCTAGGCGAGGTGACAAGCGTCGGCTTCAAAGAGCACATGGGTTTAGGTTCTGAAATCTGGCTGGTATGATGTGGTTGTGTATCACGAAAGAGCAAGACGGAGGAGATCAATCGACAGTTCAGCAGTGCCCCAAGGGATGTAAGTGGCCTTCTGTTAAAGAGCCAGTCAAACATTAATTGGTCTAGAACCTATGATATGTTCTAGGCTAGCTGCCAAGAGTCGACGGGAAACGATGGAGCTCGTGTTGCGATGATTCCTCGACACGGTAGTATTGCTGTGTAGCAAGCTGTTTGTGGTGGTTCTGTGGTATGCTCATATGCTTCATGTCCACATTCGGCAGTTAAACCTATAACGGGCATCGAGAGGACTCGGGTAGTTTGTTGTATAGAGATCGAAAAGGCTCAAGCCAAGAAATCACCAAAGACGACTGACTGACCTGTTTGAATACGACATTGTTTCAGGTTGAGTCGTTCCAGCGAGCGCAACGCAAACGGGACAGGCGAGCGCGCGCAGCGGCCGCGGCCACCGCCTCCGCAACGGGGGGGGGTGCCTCAGCCGCCGCCACCGCCGCGGGCACCACCGAAAACAACGACAACAACCTCAAGGGCGGCACCAGCAGCAACGGCAGCATTAACAGGTGAGTTTATTTGCGCCCCCCCACCGGTGACGTCTGCCCTAACCCACGTTTGCCCTCCTTCACTAGGCGTTCGCAGTGCCCCAACAGATAGAATGTAAGGGAGGTGTTGTTCAACTCGCTCCGCTTTGATTGATACATTGTTGTTGGAGCAGAGCAGAGCAAGCAGTAGTGTGCGTAAGAAAGTTGTATGATTGTATGGAGAAGGCCGTTCATAGTGTTGATTTCGTCCGCCGAAGCAAAGCTAAACGTTTCCCACATAATAGTATTTTTTTCTACTATATGGGTTTCAAGTGTTATGTGCAGAACCTGGAAGGCAGTTTCTACGAATGGCAATATGCTGCTGAAGTATAACACACAACGGGCGTGGGTAACGTGCTTCATCTCCATCACGACTCCTTGTTGTTAGTCTCGGCATCAGACCTGAGGTACTTGGGGTTGACGAGTCTCGGCCACGGTAGCTTTGTCTTTTTCTCTCTCTCTTTCTCCCTCTTTCTCTCTCTCTCTCGCGCTCTCGAATCGTGGCGAAACCAGGGTTCGTGCTACCGATTACCCTTCCACTCCGATACAGAAGCCCTTTAGATTTTGGTACTCAAGCGACAGCCACGTGCTAGGAGCAGTGTCACAGGAGATAGGCGTTGGCGTCACAAACACGAAAGTCAGAGAAGTTGTCTCCATCCCAGGGATTTCCAGATCCCGTCCTCCAGGCACTGTGGACTGAGATTAACTCTCCCACCTATCCGTTTGGCCTGCTTCGCTCATGTCCCCGAATTCAGCGTCGCGACAAGTACGACGGCGTCCACATCGTCCACGGCTACCGCTTCCACCGCCGCTGCTAACGACAATAGCTACCATCGCGACTACCGCACTGCCGAAGCCGCTGCCATGACTGCCGAAGATCGCCTCCAAGACCACCAGCAACTGCTCAGGAGATCCCGGCGACATGCTGTCGCGGCGGCGGTGGGGGAGGGGGGAGGGTCGGCCGGCATGCACCGCGGCGGAGGGGGCGGGGGAGAATTGGAGAGAGCACCCATCTCTGCGGTGCGCTCGGCACAGGTATCGCGTTTAGACTAGGAATGGTCGCGCTGTATCCCACATGGTAACCCCGCCGTATAGATACGTCGCATGGAGACCCTGCTCTCAACCCTACGGTCTTGTCCGCTGTTGTAGGACCATGAAGTCAAGCAAGTCTGAACCAGCCAGCAAAGAAAGTATCCCGCCCAGATCTTTTCCAAGACAATTGTTTGTCCTAGCTTGCGGTCCGTTGCCGTCGTTCTTGTCTTTTTCTACGCCGCCCTAATTTAGCGCGTTCAAAAAGAGTTAGTATCTATTTTCAACAAAAATACAGATAATTTACGACGGTGATACCTCGAACGCATTCCGAGCACTTCTACCTCAATTCCGGTCGGCCCTTAACCTTCCCTGGAATCGAGCATACGAGTGGTTTCAGTAGACGGGTACCGATTTTGCAACCTATCTCGAATGAATGAACCCCGAAAGCAGTAAGGCAAGAGTCGCACGGAGATAACCCACCCTTGAGCCACTGCATCGGAAAACCCCTTGCCTACTGCGTGCCACGGTCGATGCGTTGTTTTTCTTAGTTCTTTAGTAAGACGTGGCATGGAGGAGGGCAAAAAAAGCGTCTGAGGGTAGGAACCGAAAGTGTTGGAAGGGTGGGGAGATCCGCCCAGGTCGAATGCGGAGTCAGTGTTTCGCGGGCTCAGCAAAGATCGCTAACGACTGTAGCTTTTTTTCAATCTCTACACCTACTGCTACTCCTGTGGCGCTGCTTTATCTTTCTGCCGATACCAGCAACAGCAGCACCACCATCAGCACCAACCAGCAAGCGAGGCTGCAACCGTACGCGCAGGGCTCGGGTCGTTCAAGAATGCCTCTCAGCAATCTCATTGGGGTGGTGGATCATCCGTAAGTATCTAAAGACCCTTTAGATTTCATGAAAGGGTGCAACATGGCACCTGAAGGGTGTGTAGGGGAAAATAGGTAAAATGTAATGGCCACAACGCACTTTGCTGGGAGACTTGGACCACCTTGTATGTAGTGATGCCAGCGCGGGAGGCGTACCTTCACTCGGCAAACAGTTGGTTCGACAAGAAGTGTTGAAGCCCCGAGGATTCCGTACAGGAAAACAACGAAATATCGTATACAAGTAGGTACAAGGGTGTGCACAGCAAGTGGTGCTGCAGACGGTGATGATGACGGCATTCAAGGCTCCAACGGAATCAACGATGTGTTATCGTTTTATAACCACAATGTTTGCAGCGTGGAGTCAATTCGAGCGTTTGAAAATAATATGCCGATCTTTGAGCACGGCAACGCCATCACTTCTAATCCAGTGGTACAATACATGCATGCACCCCCAGAAGGGCGTTTTCAAAATCCATTTTCTTCCTACGCGAACGGGTCTAAAGCTCCAATTACTTTCTTCTTGTCCAAGCGCAAAGCCTGACTGCCGCGTGCTCTGATTTGTTCGCGGTACTCCCCTCTTAGGCCCAAGCGCTCGAGGGCTCGCACCATAGTAGCCCGCAGGTCCCACCCCCCAGTGACACCCCGGACACCCAGCGCGCCCCCTTCAACTTTCAAGGCGGCGCTGGTAAGGGGGGTGCTGGGGCTACGCACCACCACCCATCGGGTGGAGCCGAGCCCATGGACGACGACGACTGGGATTGCTGCTCCGAGGCGCTGACACCTCCTCAGCATCACCACGGGGACGGTGAGCAACGCTTCCAAGTGTTGGATGTAACCGATTTTGTGCGGTGCCGTAGTGCCGTAGGCGTGACGGACCGATCCAGAATTCAGTCGCACCCAATGACAAACCCGGTAGAGTAGAGTTCACGCAAGAACGCAATTGACAACGAGGGACGCCGTAACACGAACACAGGTGCAGTCTTGCTTGATTGATATGTCTGGAACAAGATGAAGGAACATGTTTTCGGTTTCAAGCAAGCTGCTACGACAACGCATCATTTACACGCCAAGCGTCTACTTTGTCGAACGGAAGATGAAGATGAACGTTGAGACTTGTACTATGGGCTCCTCCGCATCAATGAGAGGAAAATACAAGCATATAGACTACAGTACCAATATATATATATTTCTTGTTTTCGCTACGCAGCAACCGGACGATCCCCGGGTCAACTTACGCCTCCGATGGAGTACCAAGGTCGAAGCAGCGGCTACCTCCGAGGGGGTGTGTGTGTGGGCGGGCAACGCGTAAATGGCAACAACGCCACAAACAACATCAGCGGGGCGGGCGTGCATGAAGGCCTGGGGCACGATCATCGGTGGCGCGGCGGCGGCGGAGGTGCAGCGGGGAGGACGTCTGTGAGTATGGCACCCTTGTTGCGGAACAGGATGATGTTGCTGGGTGCGGGGGCGAGCCGAGCGCTGTGTAGGGGGGGTGTACTCATAGTCGTGCATGCCGTAGTCGTTAGACCATTGACCTCGCATCCCTACAAAGCCGGGACGGAGCACGCCGGGTTCTCACCGGACCAGGCTCTCACATCACCAAGCGCGAAGCGCCGTGAGGTATTCGGCGAGTCGCATGAAGGGTGAGCTGCATCCTGCTAAGGGTGTTCGGCATCTTGTGCTTACTTCCTTGCGTACGGATGACAGCTGCGTATGACTTAATTTATTTTCTGGTGCTTTCACTTCCAGAGACAGTTGTAAGCACTGTGTAACTGCCTCGAGGATGCTTGACCATTTTAACACAACGTGGTGTGATCATCCCCCTTGCGCGGAGTGAGGGTTCTCCACCCCGCACAACCTGATCTACTCGACCACCATTATGGTTACCGCAAAAAAAAACAGAGGTAAAAAAAAAAACCGGTAACCTGGTTGCCGAGTTCACGAAGTGAATTGGCTTGTTTTACAACGTCATTGCCAAGCGACGGAAACCTAACCCCGATGGCAAACACCGAGGGGGGGGCTTGTTTTACAACGTCTTTGCCAAGCGACGAAAACCCAACCCCGATGGCAAACACCGGGGGGGGCGGCATGTTTTACAACGTCGTTGCCAAGCGACGAAAACCCAATCCCGATGGCAAACACCGGGGGGGGGGCGCTGTGTAGGGGGGGTGGTTCCGGATAGTTGAGATGGTGTCGTTGAAGTTGGATGTCAACGTGGAAAGTATGGGTGGGATCAAACAATAGCGTTGGCTGATGGGAAGCGCTTCCACTCGGAATTGCAAATGAAAACGGTCACGTATGCCGACAGTGGTTGTTTTCGACCGTTGCAACAGCATAGAAGTCGACCACCACTGGTCGTTTCAACAACGAGGGCAGCAACAACGGCAGCAGGTATCAACAACCCATTGACGGGCCGCTCACGTGCCCACCAAACCGCGTCGGATGCATCTGCAACAGCAGCAGATCCTGGCGCAGCAGCACCAGCAGTCTCGTGACACGGGCGGCGGCGGCGGCGGCGGCGGCACCAAGTGGTCGCCCGCTACATCAACTTGTACAGGCGTGGGTGTCGAGTCACTGCAGTCCCCGGTCCGCATCCGTCGGTCCATCGTCCCCACGGCGGCCGCGGCAGCAAGCAGCGTCATCGGCACCGGGTCCAGGAGGTTGTCGAGGGCAGCAGAGGGACAGCAGCGGCAGCAACAGCACCGTGGCAGCGCTGCCAACAGAGGAGGAGGTAATGCCCGTCACGTCATTGTTTCTTCTTTCGTAGAACACAACAAATCAATCTCTTCCACAGATACGAGTCCTGTTGTTTTTTCATCGTGCTTTTGCGGCGGTCACCAAAGCCGCCGCCGTCGGCATTAAACTATAGTCCCGTCGAGCAACTCCCTGGAGGGTTCACGGCCTGTAACGAAAAATCGACTGTGTGGGCTAATGGACGTCGTGAGATACAATCCAAACAAACTTTATCGTTCCCTAGGGCTTATTCGGATTTTGTTTTTCTTCTGTTGGTGTTCTTGATGTTGTTACGCAGGGGCTAGGTGGGGGTTGGGGCCGCGGCGCTCTGGTCTCGTAGACGGGGCGGGTGCGGCGGCTGGCGGGGAGCAGTACCGTCACCATCGCCACCTCCACCAGCAGCAACAGGACCAGTATCATCAGCAATCTCAGCACCCACACCACCATCAGCAGCAGCAGCAGCAGCAGCAGCAGAGCGGAGATGGGTGGTGCGCGAAAGCCACCGGCCTGCGCGACGTGGAGGATAGGTGAGCTAGGTGTAAGGTTGGAAGGGGTTACAGCCTGCCGTGACGTCTCAAGAGCTAACACGTTGTTCAGAGGGACGTTTTTCTAGCGCCTCGACGACCTGACTTTCTTCGAGAGAGGGTTTGAGCCTTCAAGGGACCCCATGGCAAAACAAACGAAAACAGAGGGGAAAACATGGAAAAACTTCAAATGTAGGTCATGCTTGGGAACCGATATTCTGCTGTCGTAAAACTTCATGCTTGGCACACTCGATGGTAGGTGACAGCATAGCCGCCGCCACCCACATGAACATTTATTTCTGGAGACTCGACATGATCCCCTATCTCTCGTTTTTGTAGCTGGACGTTAGGCAACTGTTTGATATGCCATGGTGCGAATGGGGAAAGCGAGCTCCCGACGTACTTCTCCCGCTCCGGTGTTTTTCTAAGCACATCAGTCTGTTCAGTTACAGTCGACCATGTCACATACTTCGCAAGGGAAGATGTGACGGGCAAGGCCGCAAACTCGATTACCCTGCAAGCTGAATGCTACATAACGCTTTTTGCGCTAGTCGCTCGGTCTCATATCTTCCTCTCGCTCCACACCACCCCCTCTTCCCTTTGCAACAGCATCGGTCGTGGCTTGTCACACACACACACTACCCGTGGGTCGTAACGCCGTCTGTGGTTGTCTTCTAACCTGCGACAAAAAACTTTGATGTTGCATGCCTCGCCCGCCGTGCTCGTTCGGTTTCGCACCCTCGTGTTTTGATTGTCGGACCCGCTGTTCCGCGATGTTACTTCAAGGTTCCATCAACTCAAGTTCGGGAGGGCGAGGGCCAGGAATGCCGGGCGGCGGTCCCACGACGACATGCCGGACCCCACAGCTGGCAAGAGACATTACTTTTGAAAGATGATAGGACACCATCGTTCCGTGTAGTTGCATACCGTTTTCTTTTTTACGGCTGGGCACGTTTTCCACGTACTTTGGACCGCTTCTTTGAAGCATGAGACAGAACCTTGATCCCTCGCACCCCACCCCGCACGCGTCAATGGACAACTGCCGTCCTTCCCCATCAGGTATAAGGGCACCCAAGCGCTGAACTGAAGACAGCAAGATAGAAGCCATGGGACAGACACCGCTCACGCTCGCAGCGAGCACGAGGAGGGCGACGAGGGGGTGCAGAGCACCAGTCACAAACGGCAGCAAACACGGCAAGCATGAGCATGATGCCGTTTGTATCGAATGTTTCGTCAACGAACGTGAGACAACGAACAAGGCTTATCTATTCGCCCAGCGCGATGAGGGCAGTGGAACCTTGGTGCAGCTTCGAAGCAGCCCACGCCTATGCATGTGAGAATTGGGATCGAGGATTACCCTCAAAAGACGATTTATGTGAGGATTATATGTACGTATGATATGTCGGGTCTGGTACATTACGCATTTTGCTTCCGCCACCCTTGCTTGGGAAGTAAGTCAAAACGGGCTGTCAGAGTACAATAGACAAAGGTCACCAGCACAAGCAACAGGCAAGAGGAGTCTTTGTCCTATGGCGCATACGCAACATCGTGCACGCACGCGGATGAGAATCGGGGGGTATTACCCTGTTTGGGGAAGGGAAGAGGGTGTCTTGGGCACGAACCATTTTATTAAGATTGGACTGATCAATTCGTGCTATTACACCAGGGATGTCTGCGTAACTTCGCCTTGCCGCCTATTGCAAGCAATCTACTCGAACACCATCGAGACTCCGGACAGCTGCTGTATTGTATAGACATGCTTTTGCGAAACCTGATGATTTGGATTCATGGAGCGACAGAGGGTGGGGAGCGAGCTATGCTTCGCGGACCCACCCCACGTGGGTAATCTGTCGAATGTAAACATTTTCTTCGTTTGTGGATACTATCTCGTGCATAGGCAGTGGGCGGAGCGTATGATGTAGCATAGGTGCACCTCAAAGGTATGATGGTGAATGACGTAGTTCGTGTCCGGTTTTTGTTTGGATTCAAGTCGGGGTTTGCCCCCACACAACGGGTTACCAACGGTCGATTCCAATGCGCCCATCAGGCCCTCGTTGCTATGCCTTGGATGCGGCTTCTCCGAACTCCAGGCGTCAAAACTGAAATGGTGCAAAAGGAAACATATTGACTAGTGTCAAGTATTTTATACGCTATGGATGACACCGCCTTTGAGCGTGTCGACGGGGAAGGGCGTGACGTTGTTCTCTGTTTTTTTACGATGGTTTTTCGTCCGTACCTGTGCATATTCTTTTACATAGTTGCTTCTACTTCGTTAACTTGCTGAACGACGGTCGCACGTTGTAAATCATATTTCGTGTCAAGAATGAGGGCACCATTCTATCGTGGTCGCCACGCCCCCCGGACTGTGGCGGGGTAGTGTGATTCGTTCTGATTCTATCTTTGTACGAACTCGGTGGACAGATTAGCTTCTTTTGGCAGCAACGGGTGGGTGTATGTGTGTGTCGCAAGCATAAACATTAAACAGGCTAGACTTCGATCAGCCCCACGTCAGACCAACTAGCTTGTCGTATAGAGGATACAGCAGTTTTACATGCAATTTTGGGCAGGCCAAGAAACTGAGGAATTTTTCGGGAGGGTTGGGAAACGAATCGATGTGCAAGTCCTTGTGTAAAGCAACGAAGTTTGGAAATACTCCGGTTTGTCAGACGGCGGCATAGTTTCAAACCTTTTGGTTTGCTTCGCGGTCGGGTCTATGCATGCATCGACGACACGTGGCAAGATCTACCGATCAATGTACGTCACGGGGACAGGAGGAGAGAGGAAAGAGTGGGGGCAAATTTTTCAGTGTTGGGGAGGAAGGATATTTATAGTGTGAGTGAACATAAAGGGGGGGGAAATCTTTGCGTATTTTTAGAGAGAAACTTGTCGTCCTGTGACAGCAGCAGAAGGGCGTACCAATATAATATGTGTGGGCAAACGATGTCTGGCGGTAAACAGCACCCGGCACTGTCGCATGACTGTCGGGACTTTCGGCGTTGGTCGACGGGTAGATATGCGTCCCAGGATAGTGTGCACACGATAAGCGAACACTACTGCTGTGGCACGAAACAGATGGGACGGTAGTAACAATGTTGGGCAAAAAGGCAGGCAGGCTTCACCACGTCAGAGGGATCTACTGTGCTTACTAGTTGGGTAAAATGGAGTGGCTGGGGGGAGTGGGTAAGAAGCGCAGGACTGGAATTGTGCGATCAGGACAGGCTGTGCGGGTGGGAGGCATGGTGAAAGACGCGTGCTTCGTGAAGGAATGCGACGATCAAAGCTTGTTCCGTCGAGCTTGTTGTTCTTTTTGACCTCTGCGAGGCCGAGGCCGTCGTTGATTGCGGTGCCCGCTCTCAGTCGCAAGCGCTCGTAACGTAACACAGTCCGCTTGGAGGTGCTCGAGAGTCCGGTGATCTATATTGTGGATGTAGAGTCCAAGAACTCGTGTACAAGGATAGGCGATGGGCGCGGTTTGGGGTATACAATGTCGGTTCGTGGGCGGAGGAGGGGAGATGACGCTGAGATTTTAGCACGAGGCGTAACAATGAAATCGGTCTGTGTGGCTGCGGGACGAGGGGTGTAGTCACGGTTCTTCACGACGCCCCCTCCCGCACCGTCTTGTATGTCCCGCGGGTGAGCGGGGCGGTTGTGAGAGGTCCTCTGACCCTACAGTATTACAACTTTGTTTGATGACACGTCGCTTTCATGAGAGCGGTCAGCGGGGGATGGTGACAATTATCACAGCTTTATTGGAACGAAGTGGTGACGGCGGCCATGCCCGAAGCTCTCGCATCGGGCATCGAGAAGAGAGCAACGTCAAGGCCATGAACACGACAGGCGCGATTGCTCGAATCCCTCGCGCATCAAATCACCAGCGTGACGAAAAGTGACGGGCACCACGGCGGCGTGAAACGAGAGTTCGCCCAAAATGTTTCTTAATTCATACAGACGTGCCGGGAAGAGTCACACACAGCCATCGTCTGTGCCCGGCCAACGGCCCCCACCCATCACGCCCCGTTTCTCAAACCAACACCTACGCAGCCCTTTTCTTGGACACCACGAAGTATGCTTCACTTGTTTGTTTTCGGCGCAGCATCACCAACCGATACCCCGAAACACCAAAACGTCTTCGGGGGTGTCCTCAAGCGAGGTCGATTGCCAGACAAGCCTGTTGACCCCTGCACAACAATAGTTTTATCCTCAAACTGGTCACTGCCTCCGACCACCCTGCCCTCCTGTTACCACAAAAATCTAGCATTTAGTGGCGTTGTTGAACGGCCTTGGTTGGTGTTGATTCATTCCTGCAGTCGGCACGAGCTCCACCCGGTCTCAACACTCGATCGAAAGCAACTAGACTACTGGCACGTTCATCGTTTGGCATTGGTCGACCGGCAGCGTCCATGCTGCCGCAGAGCTCGAGTCGAGGGAGCCAGTCCAAGGGGTCCAGTCAGTTTCACTGCCCGGTGGTAGGCCAGTCATCGCCAATCCGGTTTGGCATTCTTGACTTGTTTCTTCCCACCACCGGGTCCGGGGAGAGCTTTCGACGCACAGATGCTCTGAGCGATCCTCTGCCCAGAGAATACGAAGACCAGGGGGGGGGGGAGCATGCATGATAGGCGTGCTTGTCGTGGTGGGAACTTGATATTTCTACAGTGACTGCTGAGGAATGTTGAGGGTGGGTGGTGTGTATGTGTTTAGTCCATCAGGAGGCAATGTTACATGCTTACTAAAGCTTCTCGTCAATCGCATTGTTCTATGTACCATGGTACATAGTTTCATGCAAAGGGACAGCATCCCTCCTGCTCAACTGGGACACTACTGCAAATCAAACGTCTTGAGTTGGGAGACCTTCGTAGGGGATCAGCCACAGTATCCTCCGTGTTGGGGGAAGATGTCACGCCAGCATCAGAAAGAAATATTTGGAAGAGGGGAGCAAAGGCCAACTTCATGAGGGTCAGTGGTCCAATGACTTGATTGTCTACTCTCGATAGTGCTGCTTGTAGGTGCGCCGATCCTTAACACCAACGAGGTCGGAAACACGCGTGAGTAGAGTTCTACCATGAGAGCAAGGGATCGTCGGGGCCGACGCTTACAAACGTGTGGTATGCCTTTTCTTGGGGTATCCAAGATTCTCTTGTCATTCCCTCTAGATTATGCCTCTCAATGTCGTGTGATGCTTCCTTGAAACATACGCCCCGTCCGGAGAGCAAACTGGTGGTGTTCTTCGTCGGGTATCAAGGCGGGCACAATCGCGGGGCTGGGATAGAACATGTCTATGCTAATCTTGTTGCGACGGGTTGCTCCTGAGTGGATGCCCTCGTCCTCATTAGGGGTTGACTGGCTCAAGGTTTGGTGGAAGTTCGTTCATTTTGTTCCGTTCTCATTCTCATTCTCACCGTGATGTAGGCCGGACACTCCGTGGTTTCGGGTTTGAAGGTGCACCCTTCCACCTCCTTGGCCGCCCTCTCAATGGCCCCCTTCACAACCGACTCTTCCTTTCGCCTTCTTAGCGTCTGCAACAACGAAACGAACGACGCGGATGGAGAAAAAACAAAGGCATCCGTCGTGTTCTTCCAGGCCCCAGTGAAAAAGCGTTTTCTTGGCGTACATGGACACCAGGGTCCGTCTTGTTTGCGGTGTAACATCTGCGAATGGCCTCTCTATTGTGTATCAAGGCATCGGGAAAACGGCGATATATAGGAAACAAAGGTCAGTGCGTGTGTCCATCTCGTGTTGAGAGATGTGTAAGAATTGCTGGTGTGTTTTTGACCCAACAAGCTCAGCTGTGCTTTCGTTGACTGCCTGTTTAGCTGCTGGCATCGCGGATGTCCTTGTCTGCTTTCTCGGTGCCCCCCTCCAGTCCTGCCTAGCTCAGGCTATTGCGGCAGAGGTACAGTTAGACTACAGGATTATGAAAACAATGAACATGAATACCGGGTCCGGGCGGAATCTCACATGAAAAACTTTGTTTGGCCACGAGAGAGCAAACCATGTTCACAATTAATATGGCAAATGCTACTCGGAATTTTAAGAGTGTGAACTAACCAATGGTGCGTGATACGGACTCAGCAACTTTTGAACAGGGCTGCCTCGAAAATGTCCGGGGCAAGGCTTAGATAGCCAACGGCCCTCAAGCGGACGTACCTCAACGGTAGCGATGTAGTTGTCGGGGTCGGAGACCACCTTTAGCTTTGAGACGGCCATCCGTGAAGCCGCATCCGCGTTGATCCTAGGCCGAAACGTTGTGTCTGCCAGCAGCTCCTGGGAACAGGTGTGGTATTTATTTGCGGGTTGAAGCAAAACCTTTGATTCGCCGAAATCAAGAATATGATTAGCCTGTCGGCAATGGCTGAGAACCTCAAGAGCGGAACATGAACAATACCGGTAGGAGATGCACATCTTCGTCCTCCCCTGGGTAACTTTCTGTTGAACTGCTTCGCTCGAGGTTCTTCCACGCCAGTCAGCAATTAGCAGCGATGCGGTACCTGCTCTGCCCTGAGCCTGCTGAGACGTTGAGTAGTCTCCCGTTTGAGCTGGTCTCCTCTGCTAAGTTCCACGACGCTCCTCGCTTGAAGAGTAGCAGAACGAGCCGTGATCTGTGGCTTGAACGTGCAGTCAGGATCGTGCAATCCAGCAGCCTGAGCAACGTGGTGCAAGGTTGAGATATGGACAACGTCAAGGACAATGGCGATGGCGACGAGAATGTGAGCATGGATGTGTTCGTTTATGGGTGACGACATCATCCGCCAAGTTCAGAGTCAAGGTCATCAGCAGGCGAAGGCAAGGTTTAACGTCGGGAATGACATCCAAACACAAGGAACCGCAAAATTGACCAGAAACGGTTCGTTGGGAACACGTTACGACATGCGATGCGCAGCTTGTCGAGGTCCACACCCGAGCATCGACAAAACAAACACCTCTACGTCGGTGAACGGTTTCCGCACCAGCTGCGGATCACAAGTGGTCTGTAGGCATTCCTTCACATCGTCGGGCGAAAAGCAACCAGTCCTATGACATGTGACGACGAAACGATCCCTCCACGTGATAGAAAGTAGGAGAGACGTCTGCTTGTTGGCTGGTTGTTCAAGTATGGTGCCGTTTTTGTTGTGAGCGTGCTTGGAGATCATCAACAACAAGTTTGTTGCCATGAGGACCAGAAGAGAAAGACTTCATGTCACATTGGTCGAGATAGGGAGCTGCTAGCTGCTGCTGGGATCGGTCTAGAGTAATATCCTAGTTGCTTGGCGAGCTTTTCGGCCGTCTAACAGATCATCCACGTATGTAGGATGATGCCACCCTGTATACCAGTGGTATTGAATGTGGCAGCACATGCGTCTTTACAATCGGGTTGTGCGTTGTGTTTGCTTGATTAGAAGTTCTTTCAAAACGGTTATACAGTAGGTACGTTAAGTTCATTGTCTTCTCATGTTTCTCTGGAGGCTCTCGTGTTGTCGACCGAATTTGGGTTGGAGAAACGCATATGAACTGTTTGGTCACCTTCTGTCTGACGGCCTCGTGTTCCTTCCGAGCTGCGTCCCTGGCCACTCTCTGGAGGAAATCGCCTTTGTTGCTCTCCTTGTGGATCTTGGTACTCTCGGCGCATATCTCGGGTTGGAACGTGTGTTGTCGCATTACCTAAAATGTTTCGTTCAATGCCACCATTGTTATTTTCGTGGAATTCAAACGTCAAGTTGTTTGTTTGCCTTCTCTCAAAGTCGTCGCCGTTGATATTGTTGTCGACTGTCGTTGATCTGGTTGTCGTCACACACAGCTGCTGCCCTTTCTCTATTAACAACAACAACAACAACCACATATCTTGCCTGAATTTGGTCGATGTGCTTCAACTTGTCGGTCTCCAACTTGTTCTGTCTCGACAAGAACGCGTGAAAGCTGCTACTAGTGTCGCTCCCGCCTCCTCCCTTTCGTTGCCTAGGAGATTGTGCCTCTTGTCTTTCGGGACCATAGGCCAGCTGCTGCAGGGCCATGCGCGCGCCGCAGCCGGGGCAAAACATTGTTCAGCAGGAAATGGAGGGGGTGTAACGACCGAAGGGTTACCTCAGCAGAAAGGGGTAGAACTCTATTTTCGTGCTGTCGTCTCGCCGAATTTTGCTCGCCACAAGTGATGCACTTCTGTTCCAAATATGATTCCATGCAACAAGTACCGCCACTCCAAACCCAGGGCAAATAAAACGAAACACAGCCCATTCGATTCTCCTCAACCTCACAAACGCCAGACGACCCAAAATCGAGACTTAGAGACGGAGAACAGCCAAGAGAAAGGCAAGCGCGAAGGGTGGCGGAACGGCGGTGAGCCCACACCTTGTCTCCATCGCCGCTATCCCAGTTCGTCGTAGAGATGCCTTCACGGCCAACCCCGAAGCCCTGCCGTAGGCCGGTTCGAAGACTTTCTCCCCGTTCTCGAAGAAGCGCCTCTCCTTCCTCGCTCCCTTCTGTTTCACGTTAATTTGTGCCAAGGGGGGGTACTGAGAGAGAGAGAAGTGAATATCCCCGTACAGTGAGAGGCGGGCAAGATAACGGTAGCGACCCTATTTCCACCAACACACACATACTCCCGTCTGTTTCGTTCCTTTCACTTGTACATGTGCTGGGAATAGGGTGGGGGTACTTAACGGGATATCAGCTGTGATTCTGCGCGCATGCAAGTGCTACCAACGGGGTCGAATGAGCACGCCATGCACGATTAGCAATGCGCCACACGGGGTACGCGGACACAAAGCAATAGATGGAGCATGCACCACATCACATCTGTCTCCAGTTGGTTGCGTCGTTGTCAATAAATTGTTGTCACAGATGATAGGGTAATCGCAAACCATGGATCCTCGACCCTTTACCAAGCAGAGGAAGAGCACCGAGAGATGTGAGGCAAGCTGTATGAACGGTAAGCTGCATCTAAGGAACAGTTTGGGAGGCCTCGCCATGTGTACGGAACGTAAGACAGATTCAAATTGCCCAATTCTGTTTCTCTTAGACCCATTTTTCTCTAACAGCAGTGTTGGATGGACTGCCCACGTCTCCCGGAGGTGTCTGGTGACAAGCACGATACACATTTCGGAAAGAAAGCTCCCTGTTGCACTTCAGTAAAGGGGCTCCCGAACTCGAAACCATGGCTCGACTCGATGTGGGGGGGGGCATGCGTTGCACAATAGCCCTCTGGACATATCAACGTCAGCTTCGTCCCTTACCGCTGTCGTTGCAGTCGCTGCCATCGGATGATCGGAAAGCTGCACCGGTCAACCTCTCGACTACGTCATACTATGTCGGTGTTGATGTCGACGTTGCACAAGTAGGGCAGGAGACAGAGGGATTAAGAGCGAGGGGAGCAGGACAAGGAGCAGCGGGTATGTGCCTTAGAGGGGGTCTAGGTGCTGGAGGGAGCGTGTCCTCGAAAAGCAGCGTAGCTAGCATGAATAAATACATCAAGCGCACAGATAGTCGATTGTTGCACCTAGGGTATTGCGAAACATCTGCACATGGTTTTCAGCCGCTTGTTGTTGTAGAAGAATGTTCGTCTTAAGGTCTATTTTGGCCGGGTGACATGCTGTTAGCCAACCACACGTCGAGTATCGAAATAGTGTTGTAGTCTAGTCCCAAGATTACCGATCACGATTGCGGCGATCTCGTGGTTCGCGTTATCGAGCCCCCATTAAAACAAGCAGACGTTAACACCCCGTCATAGCCATACTGTTCGCCGTTTTATTGGTCCAAAACCAAGGGGTCCATACCCGAGGTGTAGATCATTCCCGCCTACCAGTTGCGAATGTGCAATCTCTGTCTAACGCAACGCTTCTCGATCCCCTCCCTTGCCGATAGCACCCCCCCCCGAATTCCGGCAAGCTACTCGAGGGACCTGGAAAATGCAAAGTGCCGCCATTCTTGCATCCTGATACGTACAGGCCGTTACGCTGGCGTCCTCGTCGGGACTTCTCGCCCTCATGCCCCAAAAATACAACCCCGATCACGATTCCAGCTCAGCACTTGAAGCGGAGGGTCCGTTCCAACGCGTCCAGTGTGTCTTCTCGAAGGGGAACCAAAAATTAAGAACAGTCTTACGGCCAACAGTCGAATGCACCCTCGTATTGTTCTTCCTGTGACTCAACAAGGTGCGGGGCACAACGCACTTTCAACACACGCGCACACTTCCAACACCAGTAATCAGCAGCAACGATGCGCGCTGCGATATGCTTTCTCTCTCTCTCTCTCTCTCTCTCTCTCTCTCTCTCTCTCTCTAGCGGTGTGCAGCGATGGTGGCGTGTGTATCGGAGTATGGGTACAAGCCGTGGGTGCGAGCAGACCATGTTGAATCAATTCTGGTTCCGGTTGGACCAAACCTAGATTTGATACGTTGGTGTAATCTTTCTTGTTTGGCACCACGGAAACCTCTAGTACTCTATACATGGCACAAGGTATGGGGAAGTGGAAGGGCGGGGAGTCTTGATGCCCGATCAATCAAGGCCTCCGAGAAACTTCGTGTCAACTCAAAATCTGAAATCATGTTGAGGATCCTATTCCTTTCGTAAGACGTAACCTAAAAACATACTGCCATTAAACGCATCAATATCCTGCATTTTCTGTCCAAGGAGGTGTCCTCGCCCTACGACGGTTTCGCACTGTACACCTCTTCAACAAAAGGGATGAAAAGGGGCCGAATTCATCGATGTGGAATAGGGTTTCATCTGTTTCGGGAACGCGTTTTGGGGCAAGGTCCCCAACTATCCCCATTGTGTGGCGCGTATGATAATATGGGCAGTATTGCACGCTAGCCCGACCTCTCGGGGTCGTGGTCAAGACTGGCAGGTAGCTCTAGACTATTGCTAATGGCTCTATCCACTCGACAGTGCCAAATAGAGCGTATTGGCTGCGAAAGCACTAGAATGAAGGATTTGGGTGATTTCCCTGACCCCTTATCCACGACACCTACCTTCTCCGCGCCAACTACAATTGGCCACTACTTCAGGTCGGTTTGGTGGCTAATCCTCTGCAAACATGCCCTGGTACCACCATTCATATTTACATGTGGTGCTTAGAAGTCTACCCACGCTTTTTCCTGGGCACTTTTTTTCTTGGGGCGAGAGGAGTGCCGCCTTTGTTAGCTTCAAGTGTGTGCGGTTTCGCCTTTGACACACATGGGCAATAGCTTTGTTTTCCTCGCTTGGAAAAACACACAATTACGATCATACGAACCATTAAAAACATCAACCACCTTTTGTTGGTTGATACAGTCATTTATAGTGCACCCCATTTTGAACATGAGATTTTATTCTTGTGCCAACACGAAAATTTCGGAATTTAGAAATTTTTCTCAATGGTAGACCTGCCTATGGCAACTACTCCGCCTTGACTCTACTCTGCGCCCATCCTACTGCAAATCGGACGACAGCGTCGAGCACAACACCAAATGCCCGTACCTGCAAGTATTGCTGCGCCTGATCCATCCCCTTGCGCGCCCCGATAACGTTCGGCGTAAAGGTGCACGGCTCAAGCTCCCAATGCCGCCTCCCACCGCACCTTCCCCCAACTTTGCGGCCATTTACGCGCCCCCCATTCGCGCGCCTACCCGCGCCCCATACGCTGCCACCACCACCGACACCACCTGTAGAAATGTATCCGGGGCACATCACCATTGGTCCCCTCTCTCTCTTCTGGTAGGCGCTATAGATGGATTCATCGGTTAAAGTCGTTTGGGTTTGTGAATGCCCGCCGAACCAAGACTCTGAACCGCTTCCCTTTTTTTTTACACTGGTTCTTCCATATATCTGGTATCTTTGACACCGAAGTCGTTCGTTCCTTCGGGTGGAGAAAACCAGTACGCGATTGGGATAGGAGAAGACTATTATTCAACAAGTACCTGTCGCCACAGCTGCCGCCACAGCGGCCGCAGCTTCGCGGTACCTCGAACGGCCACGGGGAACAGTGTAGCCCCAGTCGACACCGTTCTCCCCCCCCTCACCTGCGTGGATTAGAAAAACATTGAGGTAAGAGGCAAGTTGCACGGGGTACACACGACAATACGAGAGGGGGCTTATCTTTGTATGCCTCAACCCATTGCATATTCCGATGCATTTCGGGCTCAACATGGAGCAACAGAGCAGAGGAATAAAATATAAAAGGGATGGCAAGTGCCTTAACCGCTACCGTATCAAAAGAACGGCAGAACGAGGAACCTGGTTTGAACGCAACAGACGACACATCAAGATGATGGGCACATATACAGAGTACAGCAGCAGCAGCAGCAGCAGCAGCAGCAGCAGCAGCAGCAGCAGCAGCAGCGTTGTACCTCTTCTTCGTGTGCGATGGTCGGGGAATCCGAGTATAAATGAGCCCCCCCGGCCTTTGTTTATTATCCCTCCTTGCTCTCTGAAAAATAGACTTTTCCATTATTGTAGTTTGCAATGGTTAGGTTACATGGTGATGGGACCAACAAGTCAAATCAAACTTGCCGAAGAAACCAGGAACGGTCTAGATGCGTCACCTCAGCGGCAAACATCCCTACCTGCGGCAGCCCCAGCTGCTGCTGCAGCGGCAATCGCGTCGGCGGCTCGTTTGGTTGGAAGGTCTGGCCTGAAGGTGCATTCTTCGTGAAGCTGCTCTTCTTCTCTGGCAGCCTTCTCCGCTGCAAGATGCGACCGATCCATTTCCCTACAACACAAGAATAACAGGCAATGGCGGTAACCACAAATTGAGCATGGTCAACGAGAGAAAACAGCTGCCACGACGTTACTGCTGCTTCTGCTGCTGTTGTTGTGGCCCTTGTCCTAATCTTATTGTAGTAGCTTCTAGTGTTGAACCTCTTACCTTCGAACGAACTCGTCGTAGAGACGGTCGTCCACAGTGAGGTGGTTCTCGCCGAGAGCCTGCCTCCTGCTTCGAGCCGCGCGGCGAGACACGCTGTTGACACGCGGCGTGAAGGTGCACTCTTCCAGTTCCTTGTCCTGAGGTGATGCACCAAAATTATATGTACTGCTGTCAGTATTGCCGGGAAGTTGTGAAGGTTGAGGACTTTGCTCTGCGCAGTTTGATCGGGACCTGTTAGTTGTGAAAGACGCAAACGAATTCGCTCAAACCTCTGTCGCTTCCTCTGCAGTTCAAGATTGAGGGTGTATCTCAGCAGTAGACGTCTGCTATTGCTGTCCCTGCCTGTCTGAGCGATGTAGGACAAAATATAGTCAACACAATGTACATGAACACACCTGCCCGTGTGCCTTGCGGGTGTCAGCGTCTTTCTCCTTGTCTTTCTGCCACTGATTCACCCGCTGAAGGAAGGGCGTATCGTCATGGTTGGTTGTACCGTAGCTCTGTTTGGTGGCGCGCAGGTTGGGGTTAACGACCAAGGTCAGGTATAAAGCCGGCAATTTCTCCGTTGTTGCGATATGTTAGGCAGTACGGGATGTCGAGCAGGACAGTATACCTTTTGGGATCCCGACTCGCGTCATAGCGGCAGAAGGAAGCTTGAGGCTTGGTCTCACAAGGAAAACTGTTTCGTCTGTCTGAACGAGCGGCGAAAACTGAAATATGATGCTGTTGTTACTAAAGATCGAGACCAGTCTGTCGATCTTCCCCCCACACCCCCTCTCCCTCTCCACAATGATACAGGAAAGAAAACATCTCTGAAGCATACCTGAGGTAGGCCTTTGATCTTGGGCCTAAACGTGCACTCGCTCATTAGCTCCCGCCGAACGAGCTCTTCTCCCCGACGAGCACGCTGCGGTACCATACGCAGGAAAGGAAGAGAGATACGAGTCACGAGTACGCGGACGCGAGATGACAGTAGTGTGTTGCCTCATTCTATCCTCACCGAATAAGGCGAAGGACTGGGTGTTTTCAGTTTTGGGCAACTGGCTTATCGATGTCGTTCTCCCTTCGCTGGTTGCTGTCTACATGTTGCGTACCGTGCGAGCTGCTGCCGACACATTGCATACCGTGCGAAAGCCACACAACGCGCCATGGAAGAAGGGTCCACCTGTCCGCCGGGTACGCGGGACTACACGAAACGAAGAGTACCCCAGAGGCCAGGAGGCAGTACCGTGCAACGCCGTTACCTCCTCGCTGAAGCTCCGAAACCGGTACGCATCCTCATCCACCGTCCTTTCGCTTGCCTGATGCTGCCGCCCACCACCACCACCTAAACCACCACCCCTGGCCTCATCCCACTCCTCTCTCTGCGGCTGTTCCTGCGGCTGCTGCTGTTGTAGTTGTTGCTGCCCCGCCATCTCTGTGCCAGAACCCTCTTCCTCCAACGAAGCAGAACCTTCCGTCCACCTACCCCGTCCTACGGCCCTGGACTCGGTCTGCCTATTCCGATCGCCGGCAACTCGACCATCCCTGTCGCGACCTTGCGGTTCCCCTTCTCGTACTCCCGCTCCTCCGTGGGTCCAGGACCCTGAGTGAGATGCCCGGCGTTCCCCGACCCGAGCTTGTTCTACCCGGTGAGAACTATTTTGTTGATGATCGGTGACGTCGTCGTGTCGAAACCTCGACGGCGAAGACCCTTCTTGGCCCTTGGCGGACCTCCCGGAGACTGCTTGGTACTCGCGACGATCTCCCCCGTAGCGCTCGCTGCCGCCACCTTCCCGGGTGTTGTCCTCCGTGCCGTATCCACTACCACCTGCGCCACCCCTGCCAAAAGCACCTCCACCACTATTGCCCGACAGGCGTCTCGCGTAGGAAGACCACCCAGGCGAAGAAGGGCCGTCGCCTGCGGATACCCCACTACCACCGCTGCCGCCGCTGCTTCTACGCCTGGACGCGATGAGGCTATTGCGATCGTGAATCCTACCGTTGCTGCTGCCGCTGCCACCGCGCGACAGCCTGCGGTTCCCTCTAGCAGTCGCATCGATGCGATCGGTACTGTTCCGGGAGGACGGCTGGTTGATCGTCATCGGTTCCGCGCCTTCTCCTAGCGTGCCCCCCCCTCCCGTTACGCCGCGGGATGATGAGGACGGCGCGCCAAACGTTTCCCCACGGCTGTCCTCGTTCGTGTCGACAACGAGCTGGCCCTGCCGGTCAGCTCTACCACGACTACGACTATTGCTTTGATCATGCGTTCCAGGGAATGGGAACTCGTCGGACGAGGTGTCATAGGTGCTAGCAGCCGCCTGCTGACGTTCCTGGCCCTCTTCCCAAGCAGTTCGCCTACCGAGGTCTTCTTCGACAACAACGGCACCGACGAGTCCATCACCATCACGATCGTTACGGTTCGAGCTGTGTGTATCGCCTGCAGTGGATGACGGAGGAGGGTGGGAGTCCTTTCGCAAAAACGACTGGCCCTGCTGTTGGTGCTGGGGCTGTTGGGGCGGCTGAGAGGCAGCGTAAGAGTCGACCGCGATCGGATCTGAATGTGCAACAGGCGCCGAGAGCTCTGGAGGTGTCAATGGCTGGGATGGAGCTTGGGCGTTGGTACGGCTGCTGCTGCTGCGGCGGCGGGTGCCGATTGGACCTTCCTCGGCGGGAGGCGTAGCGCGTATAACTTCTAGAGCTCTGCGCCGTCTCTCGTCCGCGATTTTTTTAATGATGGCCTGAGGCGCACGTGACAAGCAAAAGTATCGATCACACATGTGGAGTAAACAGGAGCTTACGCGTGTTTTAAATTTATTGTGTGCTGGTCCTCAGGAACCTGATGGTTGTTGCTGCTGTCTTCCATGTTCAAAATCTTTCTAACTTTCTACCTGGTACCTCTTTTCCGTGCTCGTCCACATAAAGAAAATGAATTTCATCATGTACAACACTGACGATGGGTTCACAGTGTCAAATGACAGTGGGAAAGTGTGGAATACTATTGTATGACATTGTGCGCGCGCCCTTGTCTACCGCGAACTGATCCCACATGGCCACGGCAATTGAGTTGCAGCGATACCGCAAAAACGCAACTTCAGCAATGCGGCCTGACTACAGCAGTATTGTTGATGTCGCAAGGGAGCTTTCCCGAAACGTTGGTTGGTTGTTTCAGGCGCTTCTCTTGTGTTTGCAAGCGTCCAGGCCACCCGTCGATAAATGTGGTACCCTACACACGATGAGACCTTCACACCTGGCGATCATGGGCGCTGAAAAACACGGACGACTCGCCGGCTGCGGCTAGTGACTCTCCCGGAATTGCGGTTGCTGGCGGCGAGGCCTCCGTTGTTTCCAGTCCAACCACCGCACTCGCGCTTGCTGGCGGGATATTCGCCGAGCCTGTCGTAGAAACAGACGTAGGAGTAGAGATGCTGGTAGCGGCCCCCACCAACGAACCTGCTGCGGCCGAAGACGGACGCTGTAGCTGTTGAAGCCTCGAGAATAGCTCGTTCTTTGTGATATCTCCTCGCTTTAACTGGGCGACGAGGTCTGATATGAGGGCGCTCCTACCTCCTACTTGTACGGACCCTCCTCCTCCGCTCCTGCCACTTCCGCCATCGCTGTTGTTGGTGCTACCACTACTGATCACGTGAGGCATCCTCCTGCCACCTCGCCTGCGTACCAGGCTGGCCGCGTCGAGTATCACGGCGTTTGTCCTCGGTGTATGTTTGGCGGCGTAAGGCCGGTTGGTGTTGCGTGTGATCGTGTCAGCGTCCCGCGCGGTTCAATCACGACTTCCGAAAGGCCGAGCCCACAGGAAAGATACACCGTTTACGGCGTTACGCCGCAAAAAGAACCAGCGCCTTGCTGAGGAAGAAGACAGAATACCACCAGCTTGCAACCACGGTAGCCTGTGCCTCCTGGTGCCGGGTGTGCGCAGCGCGTGTGTCTATTCGCTGGTAATGATGCGGCGCAATCCGAAACGGCTGGGTGGCGGAACCACACTACGACACGCCTCCATATACAGGGGTGAACGCTGCACGAACCCCTATCTCCGACCGCCTCTAGCGAGAAACCCCGCGCGCGGCCTTTTCCCTCTTTCCTGACGTCATCAGAAATTCGTCCATCAAATAAAAAAAAACTGCCAATTTAGAGACAAACACCAGGACCCAGGGTTTTCGTGGCGGGTGTACTGCTGTAGAGCTCTCCGCTCTCAGGTCTGTGTCTCAAAGGGCGGTTGTGAGGCACGGCAACGGAGATTTTGCTCTCCTAACCACCTGGTTAGCTTGTGCTGCAGCTAACTGTTTGCAAGCCGAGCCAGCGAGAGTAGCTAGCCCCGACTGAGGTGAGAGGTGCTGTAGTTTTTCCGGTCTTTTTTTCCGTTCTTAGTTATTTTAGTTTTTCTAGAACGCGCATCAAGAGTGGCGTCCAATCCACCATCCAGCTGTGGCAGGGTGGCATTCGCTCGAGCAGAGGCCAAAACATCACATGGAGAGTCTACTTCTCCATGCGTCTGTCCCGTTTTGAAACCGCCAAAAGCGAGGGCGAAGAGAGCGTGGGCCAATGATGGTGGTATGGCCTGTAGGTAGAGCGGCGGAGTTTGTCCACGATTTTTCACACCGACAACAAAAATGGGGAGAAAATTATACAGGTTCGATAATTATCTTGTTTTGAGACACGATTTCTCGGGAGGCAGACCCACCCAGTGACGCGGTTTCAAATTCAGGGTTGACTGATGTGTGCGTAGTTCTGCCACACAAAATCTCCGTCTCCGGCTGATGTTCGACTCGGGCGGACCTCCTACATGCAGTATACCACGCACGAGGGCATGCACCTGTGCATTTATTATTCCCAAAGCAAGTTGACCGCAGGGTTCGTGTGCTGCACTACCAGACACTTCCTACTGCTGTGGAGACCGATCGGGCACTGCTCGCTGACTTTCGAAAATAGCAACGGAAGAGCTGCCAACTGCTGTTTAATCTAGACGTCCGAGCGTTCGAGTTGAGAGGTAACACTTCATGTCTAAACTGCGAAGGATATCAACACTATTGTTGCGATCCGCGACCTCTAGTGGTTGTAAGGCGCGTCAGCCCGGCGTGATACACTGAGAGAAACAAACGCACTTTGGGAAGTCGGTGTCCCGGCTTCTATCATAACCTATTAATCCGGTCCTGAAAACTTGTAACTGGTCCCGCCGAGGTGTGTTCCCAACGACACGGCGAGTTTTTGACGAGCGATGATGAAGACACCGCACAGATCTTTCACATCAAGAACTGTCAACGTGAATACGCGTTCTTTTTGGTCCTGTCTTTATCTGCAAGTGGCCAGCGGCTTGTAATACAAAAAGAGGAACGGCAATAGAAATCCGGCTCTTTAGTTTTTTCACGTGCGTACGTGGCTTTCGTCTATGTACCTCTACTGCTGTTCACCCTGCCGTGCCTTGCTTTCACCCATTTCCGCACTTTTCTCTCTCGGTCTCAGTAAAAACCCCAATCCTTTGCTAACACCTGGTGTATCTTCTCTGCCCTTGGGGCCGGAGGATGTCGGGTGCTGGGCTAAATCTCTCTAAATTTCCTTTTTACACAAACCCGCTCTATTGTGAAGCTATGCCTATGCACTCTGTGCTGTTTTCGGCTGTTGGGTAGGTTGGACTCTTCCCTGGCCCCGAATCGTCACCCAATTCCGATCGAAAAGTGGTTACACAAGTGCCAACGGGGAAGGCAACGAAAACGATCCCCCGGCCTCTCGTCGGCTTCTCCTAGTGGATTCTATTCTAAAAGAGGAATTGCACTGGAACGAACCCATACCTCCCTGGTTGTGATAGTTGGTCTCATAGGAAATCTTGGAAGGCTCTCTCATTCCATGTTTTGCGTACCCTTGTCTTAACGATCGAGTGGAGCATCTTGGTAGTCCCGGTGTTGCGCAACTGATGTATGGTCCACCGACGCCCGTTTGCTAGTGATATCACCAACACGTACCCGGCGATCTTCATTCTTCTCTTTGTGGAAAGATGTTGAAACCAGCTATTCTCCTTTGTCTTACCCGCCCAATGAAGAAGGCAGGTACTGGAGCTGCTCGTGTTTGGTGGCAAACTTCCCTCCTGGTTGTTTCTACTCTGTTAAACGTACGACGCTTTGCGGGATTTGTCGAATGCAGTCAGTCCCGAAGTTCTACAGATGTCGGTTGGAAGCGATGCGCATCCGCGGTGTCTTCCCTTTGCCGATCAAAATGATCGACACGTAAAATCGCAATCACAAATACTTGACACGTACTTGTACATTGTACGGAGTTGATTTGGCCTTCCAATTTCCAATATCTATTTTTGGTCCTCTCCCTCGCACACAGTATGTTTGTCTTCCAAGCCTGCAGGCTGACCGCCAGCTTGGGATCGTTTGCAGCAAAGAGGTGACTCGCCGACCATTTGATTTCGGCTTGCCTCTTTGCAATATCGGGAAAGCCTTGAACGTTTGCTCCGTCTCGACCTTTGGTTCTCTTCCGTCAAACCGCCATTCCCACGATGAAAAACTGTCTCAACGCCGAACCGGCCACATGGTGATCATGGGATTTGTGTTGAAGCCACGCTCGCGTACGATCCATTCGCCTGACGTCAGAACGTGGGCCATTTGGCCCCTGTGGTTATGTCGGAAATCGTTTCGCCGACCTCTTCCTCACGCCTGCCACCGCATTTCGCGCAACGTCCCCTTGGCCACATCTCTTGCAACTAGGGTGTACCCCACTGCACCACACCGCGGATTCCCTCAATTCTCGAGGCTTTCGTTTATACGGACGACAGAATGTCGGCTGCGACCTTTTCGAACACAGCGAATGGCGGAACATCATCACCCGCCCTATCGGCACCAGAAATTGGTGGCCACCATGCGGCGGTAGCGATGGCGGTGGCGGCCGCACCTTCGCCGGCGGCTGCTGTGGGACCAGCGGCGGGCCGTGACGACGACATTGTGCGCGCTCTGGCTTTCGCCGAGGAACCCACCGCGGCCGTACTAGCGCAGACCGCCAATGCCAGCAATAGCATTAAGGGAGGCACCAGTAGCACCGACGGGGGACAAGGAAGAGAAACCACCGACGTGTCTGTGTTCGCAAAGGCGGAAGATCCAGAGCCATGCGTGCAGCCCTCACGGGCTGCTGAAGACAGTTCGTCTGGTACCGCCGTCGGACGTCACAGCGGGGGAGCCGCGTCCGCCACGAGTAGATCTCCCGGTGCATCGGCTTCAGCGGGTTCAATGAAAGCCAGCTGGCACGACCAGCGTCTTGCTGCGAGCACCACCAGCAGTGCGAATGGCGGGCGGGTTGGGATCGCCGAAAACGGGAGCGCTACGGCTAGCGCAAGAGGTTCGGATGCCCGAGTCAACCGTGGAACCGCAGCCGGTTCCGTTGGTGCCGGAGATGAAAGTGATGCCGGGTCTGTGGACGAGGACAACGATGACTACACCTGGTTTTCGTCGGAGAAGAGGGTTAGCGGAGGAGAGCGGAAGCACGGCAGGGGGAGGTTGGGCGGAGGGAGGGTGTATGACAGGGTCAGGATCACCGACCACGCGGAGGTGAGTGTTTTGGTCTCTATTGAATCTGATCGGGTGTCGTCGTTGTTGTTTGTGGTCGCATCAGCAGGACTAGGTCAGCAGTAAGCAGTTGTTGTCAGCAGTTGTCGGCGGTTGCCGTACCGTGGCGCGTGCCTGTTGTTATGGATTTTGGTGTTGCGGGTCTGCTGAATTCTGTTTGCGGGGATAGGTGAATGAGCGAGACACTTTGAGTTCTCGATGGCAGTGCTTGAGTTAGAAGTATTTGATTTTGGTTTCTAATGTTGTAGTGTCTGTCATCCTTTTGTCAGGAACAGTGTGGCTGCATTTGGGCATACACCAGTAACAAGTACGAGTTTCCACAGGCAGCATGTGGTATCCTGTTGAAAGGTACTTTTTCAAAGTAGTCCTCATTCGACAAGGAAGCAAGTAGGCTCGGTTCTTGATGTCATGGAGCTTTTTGTGGGAAGCACGAGGCTATAGGAATCATGCTTGTGACACATTGGCATTTCATGTGCTTGGTAGATATGTTATCCTGCACCTTGCCCTAGGCTCATGAACATCACAGCAGTGTCATGTTTCAGCACATGTCGCTGACGAGTTCGTGACAAAAGGATGTGTGACCTGGCTGAAGCTCTCGGTGCATCAACTTCTTGTATCTATTTACGAACTCTGGCACCGGTGACTGCAGAACGCGTGTTACCCAGCGTCTTTAGGCTGGACGTGAACAGGCGCTTGCCGCTTTTTGAGGCGGTGCCTTGCCCACCAATTGAAAGTGCCTTGCAGATAGGGTTTTGTGCGGGTGTTCAGTATCCTGGATATGCGGCACGTGACGCAGATGTGTGCGGCAATCGGGCATAAGTTTACAACCGCGTTCGAGCTACCACCTACGTCAAGATGGAACCGCCATTCACTGTTGTGCCGCTTGTGCGTGCGGGAAAAATGGGCAGGAGATCAACACTTTGAAACAACAGCTCGCCGACGGATCGATCGAGGAAAGCGACGGAAGGGAAAAACTCCGGGAACTTGAAGCCAAGGTACATTTATCGCAGTGTCCTCTCGAACGGCGTCGAGCTGGATGCGAGCATGCTTGCTCGTTTCCTCGCTCACAGCTACGCAACCCGATTCAACATGTCATTGGTCGTGCTGTTGTTTGCACAAGGCGAAACGCGCCGTTGGGGCATTCGGATGGAAATGCAACACACACCGCGAAGTTCGTAGGTATCCTACGGGCGTATTGTATGCACGTAACGTTTGCCGCTGCACCACCTATACAGTATGCTATGACGTTGGTTCGCATTCCGCCGATACGAACAGAATGCCCAGTTTGAGCGCTCAACCTTGCACTACATGTAGTTCGAGAACAGCGGAAAGGGATGGAGTGCTGCCGCAGTAGTAGCAATGCTTCCGTTTATGCTCACTATCTCCCATCTCCGGAGAGGAGGTTTGCTGGCCCGAAGAACCCCGAAACTTGATGGAGTGTTCATCGGAAACATACTCGAATGACAGCACGGGTCAGCACACTTCGCCACCTCTAAGTTAGATGGTCTTTAGTATTGAGGCCTACCGAAGAGACCGACCTGTCAAAGTCACTGCTGCGTTGGCAGGTGTTCTGAAACGGTTTGGAGGTGTCCAAGCGATAGCCAAGATCGAGACTTATCTAAATGTCTTGAGGTGTCCAAGCGATAGCGAAAACATTCCAGGTCATCAGGAGCCATTTCATAACATCGCTTGCGTCCTGACGAAAGTTCCGGAAAACGATTCCGTTCCTTTCAGAGACCATCTGGTGCTTTCATGGACGAAGCGCGTATGCGCGAGCTTATCGTTTGGCAAACACAACTGACACGGGGTAACGTTCATACTGGGAACCATCATGTGTGGATCCCTGGGGACCGAAATTCAATATCCATCTACCTGGTATTCCGTATATGTGAAAGTACTGAACGCTACCTGGAAAATGCAGGCTGCCTTGACTTGATAGACGCACCGCTATTGGATATGTGCAGATATATGGTTTTTCTGGGTCGCAATCAAGGCCGTTTGGGATACATGACCTGCGAATGTTTGGTGATCGTCAATCTTCTCGCGCAATCTTGTCTTGTACGCCTTTCGGCGCATCTCCCTCGCACTCGATTCCGAATCATCTATTCAGTCTTGGAGGAAAGCTGTTGTTCACATCGAGATGTCTCCTGATCGCCGACATGTATTGCCGGGGTGAACGTAGGTTTGATTTTTTCGCCGAGCGATATTCGGGAATGTCGCGCAAGATTTCAACGCCAAGTCGTCCCGAAAGGAATCTTGAGCCGAGATACCGCGAAACATGGTCCGCATGGTTCGGGTAGGACGTTGAGCGAAAAACTCCGTGTCTTGCGTCGCTTCCACAAATTGAACCTATCTCCTATTTAGTAATAAGATGTTGGTGATCAGGAGACAGCTCGAAAAAGCGCTGCGAGTTAACTCGTCGACCGAAATTCTGAAAGTCGAAAAAGACAAGCTTTGTGCGAGGAAGATCTGACGGCCATGAAGACCGGTGTCAGAAATTATTCATTCCCGTTCGGAAGCTACAGGTAACTCTCTATCGAACATTGCGCAAAACGTGAAGAACACGATGAAGAGAAGGTATGGGAAAACAGGCGACATCCACGGCAGCGTTAACCCTCAGCGTCAAAAGACATGAGACGAACAAGTTTTTCCTCTGCGCTAGAAATGCACCTGAAGGCCTCTTCATTTTCGGCCAAATAACGCGTTGTTTAGTTTCCACACAACCTGAACAACTGCGAGGCTGGCCCAACAGTTCCCGAATGACGTGCAACAGTGTGCGGCCGTTGGCTAAAAAGTTTGCCGATTGGGATAAGCGTATGCTTTAACGATCAGTAGTCATGCAATGTTTCTACGCGAGTTTGAACATGTCCTGTGGGGAAGAATGGCGACCCCTATATAGCAGGCACTAGCTGGCCAAAAACGTCAACTTTTCGTGCATTGCACTCTGGCTGGTCATTCATTACAAAAGGGAAACAAACCAGAAGCCTTCACGCCTACAGATGATTCAAAGCTCCGTCGTAGATCTGTAGACCGTACCAACTATTCTCATGGCTGGTTGGTGTGCCACAGAAGTTTGTTGGTCGAACCTCGCAACGTTTTACCGCTCGACGTTTGAGAGCATGTCATACTGACACCACTGTTCGTTGCTGTGATGGTGGCCCCAGACCTTCACGATCAAGATTGGAGATACGATCGAAATCCACTCCGGGAACGATGCGCAACCTTTCGTGGGAAAGCTTGTCCTATTGGACAGAGGAACCAGGCGATTCCGGGTGAGCAATCTAAGCATGGACCATTTAACAGAAGTATAGGGACTGGACCCACTTCAAAAATGAACTCGGGCAACGGGTGATTCGGTGAAAAGCGTATGACTACGCAATGAGTTTTGGAGGATCTGGTGAAGGTGGACTGCTGTGCATCCTTGAAGTTTTCGGGCAACTTGAATGGACCGACATCCTGCTTTTAGGTCGACTGTGGGTTCTGTAGTATGGCGTTTGGGTCATTTCTGTTTTGCGCTCCTCCTCATTTTCCCAGGTGAGGTGGTATTTCGTGAGGCACGAAGTTGATGCGCAACTGGCCGAAAACATGGAGCCAAAGGAGATTCTGCTGTCCGACTGTTTGTCTTCCTATCAACTCCTTGACACCGTCGACCGGAAGGTGAGAGTGTACCACCGCATCACACCTTCTCCTCCCCCAATATCCGCGCAAGCTGTGTCGGCTTCGGTTGTAGCCCCTACCCTATTATTTCCTTTGCGCTCTCCTGAACTGAACGCAAGTCCAACGGGCCCGCAAAAACCCGTGGCATGAGTCACCACACGACACTGAACTTAATCGAAGCAGTAAGAGAATAATGGCCATCATTTACACCTGTTCGGATGGGCGCAACACTTTTTGCCAAGACAGATGACATGGTTGTCGGGTTATGTCTCAGTTGTCCACCCTCCTACACTTGTGGAAGTACCACACACGTGCTGAATTACCAGATGATCGTTTGGGGGTCGTATAAGCGGTGCCTTGGGTGAGGTCTCCGCCAAGTACGAAAACTTACATGCTCTATGTTCATTCTGAAAAAGCAGGTTGACACAGTACGGAGAAGGCCACCGCACGCGCAAGAACTCCCTGCCAACACGTATCTGTGCTACCGTGGGTACGACATGAAGGCGAAAATGATCGTCCCTCTCCTGGAGGACGGCTCCTTGGAAAGTGAGATGATGTGCCGCCGTTATTTCAGCAACGAAAAGGTCGAATCTCGATGTCACACCGGATGTACAGTGTCGTAACATGCTCATTGCGTTATGATTTGTTGGATGAGTGACCTAACTCGGCATCGTAGAACGTCGAGCTGTATGATATATACCGCACACAGAGCAGTTTTGCGCATGAAATCGTTACGGGTGTATGGGAGCACCTGAAACATGGACAGAGGTGCATCGCAGTGTCTCGGAGAATTGTACGGTCGAACTCTCGTTACAAAAGTCATTGATAAAAGTTTGAGGCAGCGCACGGTTCCACGAGAGCCGTCGAAATCGTTATTTGGTGTTTTTGCCAGGTTGGTCAGGCTCTCATCGAGGAACTCGATTACCGTACTACACCCCTGCCGCTGCTACCGTTGTTCGCCGTGTACGATGGCCCGGTGCACGTTTCTTAGCGTGAGGTGCACCCCTTACGTCTTGTTCGAAACCATCAGGTTCCGTCGAATTGTTTTCACATTGAACATCGTTCCGATTTGTATCCAGCGCCTCTCTTCCCTGCTCTTTGATACAAAGATTTGGTCCTACGGTTTTGTAGAGCTAGCTGAATTCTGTAGTCTAATGCCTGACACCCCATCTCACGCGCTGTTGCTCTTTTGCACCTCTGATCCGCAACAACTCCGCCAAAAGAATTTCGCCGGGGAAAGCCGAGTACCAAAAAGGGCCAGGCGAGCGCTCGGGGGGCGGTGTCGCCTGGAGCATCATCCGCAGCAGCTGCACACACGCCACCGCGTGCGTCGACGTCTTCGTCCATCATGTCGCCGTCCAACCCGTCCCAGGAGGACAACGATCCATCGGAGCTGGTCTTGTTGCAAAGATGGAACCGGGTAAGAGACCACGGCACCAACAATACCGTCACCATGTAGACTGCTGTTGTGGCCTGACTCCATGTGCTTGCAGACACGGAAAGCATTCTGGCAACAGCAACAGCGATATCAACAAGCTGATTGGTCGGTGGCCTAATCGTGTGCCGTTCGTTCGCAGACGGGACCGGAGTTCGACGTGTACGTTCCAAAGTGGACGGAACCCACGAGAAGAACCAAGCCTCCGCCAGAGGAGCACATGGTGAGTCTGTGGAATCTTAAGTCCTCTTTGCTCTACCCTTTCCGCATGTATGAATTGGAGCGCGTTACCGTGTCACGACTTGTCGGCCAGGTTCAGCAAAGTAGGCGATGACAATACTTGAAACACTTTTCGCTCTGCCGTTGGCCAAGGTAGGATTCGCAAAGGTTCTGTCCTTCGATACTGTAGTTCGCAACAAACCCGTTGGTTCGATAAGGTCATTGACGGTTACCCAAGGCTCCTCACAAAAAAAAAGCTTTGTAAAAAGGGGATGGCGTTTCGCAGAACCAAACGAAAGAGCTTGAATGCAGAGTTAGGGATTTGCAACAAAGCAGCTTTTTGTGGGGGGGACGAGACAAAAGACCGCAAAAGCATCGTTTATATATTGTTTTGCCCCGTAGAGCGAAAAGTTGAAATGTTCCAAATCCAAAGAGTCTACATGTTTTTGCAGTATGATAACACCCGGTCAACTAGCTACATTCGCGTTCAATCCGTTTGTTGATCGGGCATGCACACCTGGAGAACGGCGTCGGCGCGTCAAAGGACCCAGAAGATGCGGCGTTTTGGCCAATTTCGGTCTGCTGCATGCAACTACTTACAGTCTACGCGAACACCTCTAGAATCGTTTCTGGTTGTCTGCTGCTGCTTTCAAGTCATGCGACGCCACTCACACACCCTATCGGTACAAGTAGGCTCTGGCAGTTTCGAGCAGTGCGGTTGCTTTGGCGTGTTTGTATGCATAGACTAGCTGTCTGCAACTGAAGCACCCCTTTGCTGCGCTGGTTCGCAAAACTTCAAGCACGTCGATCTTGCGCTACAAGGCCCAAACTGGTAATCGGCACAATTTAATCGACGGGGTTGCTCACGCTGGTATGGTTTCTCGAAAAATATGTAGAGGTTTGCGTCTCCTAAGGCTAAGCGCCAGAGGGGACAACTGAGATTTGACAGCAGTCGGCGGGGGCACCGCCCAGGGTTATTTTGTCTAGCAGGTTGACCTGTGCGAAAAAAATGGTTGGGGAAAAAACCACCATCGCGGAGCCCCGCGGACACAGGGGACGGCGACGGGCCTTGCGTAGCCTTCACGAGACTCCGTGCCACAATGAGTGAACAATCTCACGTATGCATAAGGATGTGCGTAGCTGCAAGGGTTGGCGTATTCGCACGGGGGTGCTTAAGCAAGAACCAATGATTGGATTCGATTTCCGCACCGGTATCCGACTCACCCTCGAGCGACGAATCCAATACCTTCCGGGGCACGTATTGCGCTGCAGCCGTCGAAGTTGTGCAATATCGCGGTTTCATCGTAAGTATACTCCGCTGCTGTATTTGGTCCCCGTCGCGGGCCACTTGTTGAAACACTGGAGAAAATGGAAACAGGAGACACTTCTGTCATTGTACATACCAGTATGGTCTCCACACACCAACAAGCACGCAAGATCTCACCCGTGCGTGACCTATATTCAGCTAGCATATTCTGATAATGCACATGAGGCAAACACCCCCGAGGCCAAGGGCAACGCGGAAGGTACACGGATATGTTTAATGTCCACCTCCTAACCACGCTTTCCATCCATCATTCGTGGCAATTCGTGGCACCTGACTAAACTCGTTTTTCTACCCTGGTGGAAACTACCTGCTACGCACCAGTGTTCTAGCGCCACGTCCCCCGCTGGTTTTTCGCCGACCGGATTTGTATCTCGTCGCATTTGATCTCACCGCGTTTGTGGGGTAGCCTGTGTGTCTGTGTGTGGTCTGAATGGATGGCAATACACACAGAAGTACCTTCGTCTGCTGTAAGTTGTTGAGAATTGCACATATGGGAGTCGTCGCACGCGGATGCGAGAAATATAGTCAAGGGTCTAATGATAGAGAACACGGTCGCGGTACGACAAAGTTTTTGGTTCTTTCGGTCTCCCCCTCCCCATGCTTCCCGACTGCCTTACACGCATGCAGGCGGCTCAGTCCAGGTTTGACGATTGTCAACAGTGGTCGACACAAGCCCTGCCTTTTGAGCCGGATGCCCTGAAGGAGTACCTTGCCAGGGCCAAGGCTATCGCGCCCATTATCCCGGGCACAATCGTCTACATCAGACCCCACCCGGACGGGCAGTGGGGCGACGGAAAAACCATCAAGCAGGTCAGACGACCCAATGGTAGCGGTGGTGGCCGCAGCGGTGTCAGTGCAGGCCTTGACACCGGGGCCGGCCCCAGGCTGAGTTCGATGGCGCGATCTACGTATCGATGGGGGCTGGTTGCAGAGCCACCTCCCCCCGCCCAAAAGCAGCAGCTGACGCGAGAGCAGGTTCCCAGCAGAACGGAGGCATTGCCAGTGCAGGGAACGCCAAACATCCCGATGATGCAGGAGTCGGCCACGGGCAGTACCGGGGTGGAAATGCCGATGACACCGCAGTGGTTCAGGCAACAGCAGCAACCGCAGCACCACCAGCACCACCAGCAGTATGTGCTGTTCGAGCAACAGCGCCAGCAGAAACTAATGCAGGAGCAACTGGTGCAGCAGCAGCTGGTGGAGCAATACCAGCGACGCGACCACATCTCTGGAGATTCTTTCCGGCCGCAGCTACAGCTGCCCCCAAACTCGCTACTGCAGTCGGAGTTGATTCAGCAGGGCTCCAATCTCGGAGGCCTTGCGGCAGCGCATCCAATGGCTGCACAAGGAGTTGCGCCGGCGTCGACGCCGCGTGGGGATGGAAACCCTCATGCGTTGGCGCCGTCGTCCGTATCAGGCGATGCGATGGCAAAAGGAGCAGCAGGGGCGACAAACGAGGAATCAGTTGTATGGATAGCTAGTCCGTCCGAGGGTAGTTCGCCGCTGCAGGTGGAACGGTCGCGCATCGTGGGACGGGAGTTCGAGGAGGAAGCGATGAACATCTTGTGGGATGCCAGAGGTGCGCGTGCTTTTTTGTTCGTGCTAAATAGCATGTCGATTCGACCAATTGTAGCACAGACGTCACATCCCCGCCAACCACCCATAGTCCCCAACAGCAGGCTACAAATATGTGGCACTGCTGTGAAGCTCGCGTTCTGCGTGGCGACTGCCCCCGCCTTTCTGTTCGTCAGGTCAATTCGGAGTGGCTCTCGACATCGTCAGGTCGAAGAGGTACCAGGATGATCTGAAACGAAGGCTGAAAAATGCAGGGGAGATATGGACGTTCCAGCAGGTGACGACGACAGTAGTGTAGGCCCCTTGTAGTTGATCGGAATCCAAAGAGGCGCTATGGCTGCCGGCTTGACCTTGGCGGTCATTCCAACTCGGCTTGAACCGCTCGCAGAACTTGCGTGCAATTGAGGTTCGCCGGGTTAGATGACCAAAATTGCCTAGTGGGGGGTGATGGTACCTGCTCTCCTTGCAGAACGTGGCGGTGTAGCACACGTCCTCTTCAAACTTGCTGCACTCGTCACACCGCTACTAACAGGTGAAGGCCGCAGTGAAGTCGTGTACGAAGCTGGCAGCAGAACGCCGCAACGAGGAGATGGGAGAGCTTGGGGACGAATGTACCGACGAGGCTGACCACGGCGTTGCTTCCAAGCCCTTCCGTTGTGTGGTTGACTTCAGTCGACGGTTCGCGACTCTTTCGAGGTAAAGTGGAATGGTCGGAAGGTGTGTATGTCGTAAAGAAATGCCCCTGTAGTTGTTCAGATGGCTTCACAGGCTCCAATTTTGTCAACGCGAAATCGATGTCCTTCCTAACGTCAGGTGCAGAATCATTTTTTTTTTTTTGGTGTTTGGTACCATACGTGTTTGTGGGTGGCCCCGCGATGCAAAATTGTCGCGGCGACACGGAGCCATTTTGGCCAGGCACCTATGCCTGAGGGCGTTCCATGTTTATATCATGGTTATTCTGTTTGATTTTGGTTTTTCCCCAGACTCGTGTTTAGCATTCCGTTCATGAAGCACCAAACAGCAATGGTCAATTCTAGTGGAGCCCGAAACCCTGTCGCCTACACGCTAAATCGTGCTCTGACTCTTGCATTTTGTTCCCCCGTAACATACACCGTAGTGTTCCCGTGGAACCCCGTGTGGGCACGAGGTAGGAATCGCGATGTCACGTGGTTGCCGCCAAGGTTGGCAACAGCTCATGCGAACGTGCACGCAGCAGAAGAGGCTATAGCGAACTGATGGTCGCAAGCCATCATTCCAGTGTGCTTGTCAGTTGGACACTAGTACGTTGTCCCGTAGGCTGGTTCCTTCTGCCTATTCTCCCCTGCGGTTTCCCTGCTTGGGCCTATGGGTCGCGTGAGTGTTTCGCTTCTGGGCCCACGTACACTAAGGCATCTTGTCGTCGGTATAAACATCGCGTGGCCGATGTTGATTGCACACACAACTTTTCGTGCACACAGATTCGGTCAGAACTCGAAACGAAGAGGGACTGCAGAAGCAGCGACGGTAGCCCAAGGAGCAGCAGCTACAGCAAGCACGACAGCCAAACGGCAACGTCCGAAGCCGGGCACCTACAACGATGCCCGACCGCACAAAAAACGCGCGAGGGCGGGGAGCAGCGGCAGCGATCGAAGTTGTAAGCAAGGTGAGACGACCACATGCACTGCTGCGGAGACTTCCACCCCTTTAATTTACCGCGAACGTCATGGTGTCTACGCCTGTCCTGTTCGTTGTGAACTGAGGGTTGTACACATTTGGGAGATCGCTGCCTCCAGTCCCACGACCCATACCGGCCGAAAAGATCACATTGTATGCTACTTGGATATGATACTCCAGTATGGTTTGCGCATGGCTTGTGCGTCCTTGGCCAGGATGCCCGGAAAGACTGAATACATGTGCGCGAAGGAACAACGCATGCGCGCGACAGTTTTCTACAGAAGAGCGGGCTCTGTTGCTGTAGATAGTGGCGTTACAGATCCCGTTGGTGCGATGTTCTTTTTTCGGTGTTTCCTGATGCTATGATCTTTACGAGTTCTCGCACACAACGCCCAGCCGCATTGCCAGACATGACGAAGCCCACAGTCAGTTGTGAGTATCAGGCTGACGCGTTGGTTGAACCATGTCAAGGAAGGATTAGGGACTTGCCGACAACACTCCGAACAATGACCAATTATCATGAGCAGAACAAAGCGACGAAGAGGAGGAAGAGGAAGAAGAGGAGGAAACCGACTCCTCGGAGGACGACAACTACGACCCCAATGAGAGCGAGGGCAGCAGCGTCATTTTCGTGCGAGGCAACAAGAGACGCCAACGAAGGAAAGACAGAGTCGAAGCCGGCAGCGGAGACAGCAGCCAGGAAGACAGAAAGGTCGATGCGACACCAACCACGACCACGCGAAGCAGAAAACCACCGTCCCCACCTTTGGATCCTTCACCCGGTGTCGTCCACGACCTCTGCTCTTCGGATGAAGAAGATGAAATGCAGGACCTCTCCAGGAAAGGCCCTGCGGCAGGCTCTGCCGATGCTCCTGCTGCGGGGCGCTCTCCCGGTGCCGCTGGCTGCGGTGATCATGAAGGCCACCAGGCCATGGCGCCGGCAACGGCGGCCAAGGTGGAGGCGGCAGCGGCGGCGCGAGAGACACGGGGCGTGGCGGCCGAAGCAGCGGCCAGGGCGGAGGCGGACGGGGCACATGTAGAAAATGGAGGGCGAGCAGCCGCCGCGGGAGGAGGCGGAGGAGGAGCGGGTATGCCGTCAGCTTGCCCGAAAGAAGCCCGTGGCGGAACCATGAGCACGGAAAGAGAAGGAGATGGCAGTAGCGTAGGCAGCGACGTTACGCCTCCTGCCCGCGATGACTCGCCCGTACCGGTACGCAGTGAATCTTGGGAGGAATTTTGTGCGTCAGCCTCATTTTGTGTTTTAGATGCAAGCAACGTTTCGATTTCTGCGAAGCTTTGATGAAGCCCTGACTGAAGTTGGTGACGTGATGGACAGGGGTTTCGCCGATGCACTTGGACCACATGTGTTGTTGACAGTTACCCGTTGCCTACTTGTTTGGCCTCCAACGACAAAAATGCGGTATGTAGTTTCCTGTCTGTGCTTGGCTGCAGCAGTGAAGGCCACATGAACTTACACCGTGTAGGATTCGGACTTCCGCTGCGGTACCAAACGCAATTCTGCAACCAAAATACAACCAACCATATTTGCTCGATAACATGACTTATCGTTGTAACTGTCATCGTTCATCAGGGAGTGGCGTCCGGCAACACCGGCGGTGAAGCCATGGCACCCAGACCGCAAACAGAGACTGGCAGCGTTTTGCATGTTTTCATGGATAGGTAAGACGGGCGGTGGGCATGTTTGGTTACTGAGAAGTTCCCGAGTGTTCGCAGGAGCGTGTTTTTTTTCAAGACGGCCCACGTAGTACATTCCTGGTATTTTATGGGTTTGGTTTGGGGAGGTGCTCTTGCCTGGGGGGGGGGGTGATTTGGGGATCTTTTGATTGCAGGACTTCTCTGCCAATAGTGCAAAGTGGTGTTCCGCAATGTTCCGTGGGAATTGGAGGTACCCACGCCGGATAGGTTAGAGACAAACCTTGTACGGACTCACATGGCGCGATGTCCTGCGGGCACTCGAAAGCAGCATCGTTTCGGTGTGGCAGGCCCGGATGCTGTGTATGTACGTGAACACTGCTGTCTGGCACCGCTACCCACCCTTACATCCACTACAACCGTAATCCGCGAATGATTTGCTTTTATCTGCCCGAACGATCCGATACACCATCCCACGCCTCATCCCACAGATGCAAAGCCACCCTCACTCCGGAGCTGTTTGACAAGTTCGTGTCGGCATTGTCTCAATATCGTGAGCAGCGGTTGGCGATCGGCGAGCTCGTGGACGTGGTCGGCCAGTGCTTCAACCATCTTGAGGTAACCCACTAATGGCGTTCTTCCTTAGGGACACCGAATAGCAACAGCACAATTAGCAACCGTAACAAGTGCTTTTTTTAGTCTCTGTCTTATCCGCAAATCGTTCGCTTGTTTCACATTAATATCTGTTTGTTGTTCCCCGTCCGCTGCGCAGGAACGGGAGGTGAAGCTCGTGAAAGAGTTCAACAGTTTCCTGCCACCTGGCAACGCGGTGAAAATCACTGAGACATGACACCCGGGTTTGGCGGGGTGCAGCCTGCAAACATGGCGGTCTTTCACAGTTCCTTGTTGGAAACAAGGACGAGGTCAGGGTTTGGAGAAAAGCAGTGTCAGCGATATGAGACGGCAATCTACTGTCTGCGGCAGCGAATTGAGCTGGCGAGCATCCCAAGGTTTGACCGAATCGCACATAGGAGAGCCAGTTCTCGGTAGAGCTTGTGTAGGAATGGTCTCCCGCCGGCGGCAGGGAACAACGCCAGCTGAGGCGGGATTATTCAGTAGGCCTTCCGAGCAAGAAGTCTACAACCTGCACCACGTTTTGAACTGACTGAAGCTACGCAAGAGAGTGGCACGTTTGAGCAAGATGAGACACACGTAGCGCGTCATGAGCGGGGGGCGCGAATAGGAAGGGTTGCTCACGGCCAGAGCTGTGCACGACTTCTTCCAATGACTCGCTATCTGGCCGAAACGGTAGGTACATTAGGAGATGCGTTGTGTTCGTTCCATGATGGCGAGTGTTGAAAACGCACAGAGCGAAGCCTGCGAGCGCTGTCAACGGTATTATCGTGGTGCGAAGTCCGCCCATTGACAGTAGAACTCACAGAAAGCGTTGATAGATGTGATGTCGCGGGCAGCGTGCGTATGACTGTTTAGTGACTGTATCCTAGAGAGACATTACCTGGGGAATTGGCGGTGTGTCGGATTGTTGGTCCACATGCCGGTGTTCATCGATCTATGCGTCGCTTTTGTAGTGTGTGTTCTTGTGTGTGTGGGTGTTTCTGTCACTAGATCATAACAACAGTGTTTTTTGGTCTGTGTTGGAGAACGTAGGTGCTCTTATGCGTCTCTTTGTGCCGGGCGCTAGGGATGACAGCAGTGGAGGCATTACATGATGTCGGGGGAGTTCATCGAAGCGATCGCGCACGGCGCAGTTTACAGGTGGTAGAAGGCTACGTTGCCGCCATCCACGCAGAACAGGAGTGGTGACCGGTTGTGCTGACACTATTAATAGGAGGCGTTAGCAAGTCCTGGATGAATAAGCGGTTAGACGCTCCGGGCACGTAAGGGATTACGAAAGCGTGCCCTTGATGTACATTTCGAAAGTCTTTGGGGAAACAGGTTTCGTGTGTACCGTATATTCATTTTGTTTTGGCTGAACTAGTGATAAAATGTGTTTGTTTTGGTGGACACTACTTTGCTTGACCTGTGTGGCGACAGTGGTTGTAAATGTACTGTGCGAAGGGAACCGCAGCAGTAGCATTTGTGTGGTACATATCCAAACTATGTCCTGCCGGCTCTGCGAGTTTCGACGAGACATGTGCCGCGCTCTCGTCGCTGGTTGCATTGCTAGGTGGCAAGCTGTGTAGGAATGTTTGTGGAGCGAGGTTGGTGTGTGGTGCTCGCTACCACACAACCTGCATTTGCATGCGAACGTGCTGTATACCGTCTGTCTCACAGGCCGGTAGGAAGTTGGGAACAACGCGAGAATTTTACGTAAAATAAATGAAAATCTGTACGGGGAGCTAAGTGGTTGCGTGGGTTGAAAGGCGATGGGCTGTGAGTTATCCTACGTTGTTTGCTCGTTGATCAGGTGATGTGTACTTGTTGCCATGCCCGACTTAATGCGGCATTGTTTTTGCATCGATTTGTACACTTATAAAGTACGTCGTCCGTTGTAGGCTACCGTTTTTGTGTTGATTAGAGCAGAGTAGAAAATGGTTCCTGTGGTTCCTGTGGAAGGTGGAACGTAGCAACCTCCAACGAAATCTTGACGGAAAGGAAAAGGCATCATACTGGTCAATTCGTAGCCAGCCTTTGTAGCGCCCGGTGCAGTTCGTACCCGCGAGGAGTGTCGGTTTCACCGTCGAGGGTTCCCACCCATATTTGGGTCATCTCCCCTAAATACCCACCTGACAAGAACGAGCTTTAAAGGGTCGTGTGACTTGTCACTTGTGTGTCTTCCGACCGCCAAGTTGATCGTGCCTCACGGCAATAAATCAACGTGCTGAGTGAGTTTCGCCTCATTGGTCTTTGGAAGTTTGTTTGTTCCCCACATGGAACGAAAGTCAGGCGTGACCGAACACTCTCGCGCAGGTGATCGGCAAACGTCGGGGACAAGGTCTATTATAAGGCAGTCCCAACCCGATGACTAGTCTAATGCTCCGAACGGTAAAGAGTGTTATTTACAGGACCGCACGGCTAGCTGCGTTTAGCAGTGTACGGTGCAAAACCGCAGGGAAGGCTGTCTAGACCACAATCAATCCAAGTACGTCGGGTTTCGTTAATGGTACCCTATATTTTACCGTTTTTTCGACGAAGAATCAAGTCCCGTTCGTCGAGCAGGAGGAAAATGTCTCGCTCTGCGTGACGGCGCAGGGCTCAAATGATGTGATGGCATCATGATATGGCACAAAGGGGCGTGCAGCGACCAAGCCAACGATCTCGCCATTGGTTGGTGCCGGAGACCCGCCCCCCTTGTTTACATTGCCATTTTCGGTGGATCGAAGCCGCCAGCCACTACGCAACTCGGTGTGCACATTCCTTCCTGGGACCCTCATCATGCTGCAGGGTTGAGCATCACGGGCCGGTTTTCGAAGATGCTACAGATAACAGATCACGTGTATGTGTTACGGAATGGTCCGCAGTTCGTATGCCTCCCTTACGGCCAGGTGAGCGTTGCTGTTCTCCTGACTACTTCCTCGTTGGCCACAGATTGCCCCGCCACCAAACAGATGTCCAGTGATTCGAGTTATTCATGATTGTTCGGCGACCCACGTGTCAGAAGTAAGTGGTCCTTGTACGAAACTGAGTCGTGGCCAGCCGGAGATTTGTCGCGCAGGAAGACCTCGTTGCGGACAAGCAACCTGCCGGCACGTTGCCCTCATGACTGACCGTGAAATGCGTCGAACGCAAGTTCAATGTGCCTTCTAATCCCCGTACAACTCAAACACTATTAATGATGATCCGCGTCAATTTTTCAACTTCCCCCATCCTGCATCAGCCGGTCCAAGAAGAGGCCGATCTTCAGGCCGATTGTGTTCAAGCCGGACGGGTGCTGCTGCAATTGCAGTCAAACAAACGGGTTACTACAAACGCGGTTACGTCCCACCAAAAACCCGGAAACGATGCTGCAGTGCTTGGCATAACATGGCTGATCTGTCTACCCATCAAGCACAGGATATGTGGTATTCGCCAAAGCACGGATCACACCAACTGCACCACCCGACAACCGCGCCATCACACCAAGCAGAAGCAGCCGATGGCAACCATTGGGCGGACACCGAACAGCCACGACCCGAGCCGCCCATCAGCAACAAGTCTGCTCGCGTAAAACAAGAGGACGATGTTGCAGGAGCGCGGACTACAAATGACCAAGAGCTTTCTTTACCTTTTTGGCTCGCTTGGTCTTCTTCTTTACCTGGAAAAAATCGATGGAACGGACGAACGAAGAACCGGAGATTGAGGACGTGAGCCAAAGATTGGAACAACCGAACCTGCCTCTGCGGTGAGTACATAGTATTTTTTTTTTATATAGTATGTGCACCGATGAAGCCGTGACCTCCTTCGTTACCACCAGAGAAGCGAGTACGGCATCCAGGTTGATTCCTGGTATCCTCTTGCGCAGCCGTCATACCTGGCCCATTCTCTAGCTGGTTCAAATGCAACAGCTACCAGTACGATCACATGACCCTCGGTCGCTGCACCATTACAACCACATCTGTTCACGGCTGTCGAGTTATGTTCTCTCGCTACTGCGGAGCCTCTCGAGCATGACGAGCCACTGCTGCGCTGGTTTCCGTTTAGCGCAATGGGTTGGCAGTGATTCCTCATAGCCTCACAGGACACGCATCGCAATGGTGCCGCGGGGTTAAGTTGGTGATCTGTCCAGGTCCACTACGAGGTCCCTGCTTTACTGGATAATGTGCCTCCGAGTCGATGATTGCTGGAGGATGAGGGTGGACGGTGGTGCCAGCGTAACGTCGACGTTTATTAACCTAACGCCTAACAGCGATGCTGTAACGACAGGGGACAAGTCACCCATGGCCTGTTGGTGATAGAGGTGAGTGCTAGCGGAACCTTGTACTTCACTATGCATACTTTGTTTCGTTTGATAAACTCTGGCCACTGGGAACCGGGGCCAGCTTTCTTCTCACCGCCAAAGAGCTCCAAACCGGAAGCTAGAGGCAGGGGACGAAAACAGAGTCGTTCAGTACTTGTCCCCGATGCATTTACCACTAGCACAACAGCTGTGTTTCTATGGGCCTACTCTGCCCAATCACCAACAGGAACACAAAAAAAACGGCTTTTCAGAGAAGCTTTGCGGGCAATCTTGCCGTGGTCTCAAGAACGAAGGCGGTCGCGTGCAGAGCATCTTCCGCGGCAAAATCGACATTATCGGTTGTTTTTCCATGGCAGCTACATGCAACCGCACCACGTACCTCTTTGACATCCCGTTCTTTCCACGTGCTCTTGCTGATCTTCATTGGTCTGTTGCCCAGGTATTTTCCTTGTTGTTCTCGCAAGGCCTTGAGCATATCCATACTGCCTCACCCCATGTGCACACATCAAAGGCAGCAACAAGAAAAATGGTAGAGGGTCAGAGCGGTCATTCACGACTTGAGCTGTAGGCAAAGAAAAGGCACCAAAATATCAACCTCTAAAACACGTGTTCTGGGTCTTGACATCGTTAGAAAGTCCGTTGTAGGGATACAAAATGATGGAATAACGACAACGACGACGACGTTGACAACGAAAAGTGGCACAACAAGCGGCACAGCAGAAGCACGTCTTACCCGTCCAAGAAGCTGACGAAGCCGTAGCCTTTCGACTTCTTGTTCCACTTCTCACGGATGATCTTCGCCTTCGCGAAAGAAGTGTACTTGCGGAAAGCCCCCGCCAGGTTGTCGTCGGTGACCTCATTCCCGAGATCTCCCACGAAAAGCCGGTAGTCGTCTGCGCGGTTTCGGTTCGGGGAGAGGCAGGGAGGGGGCAGGCGAACTTGAGAACAATGTAGTCTGGCTCCCAAAACTCTTCTACAAAGGACAACCAGACCATTGTCGCCAATTTCTCGAAAACCTCCCGAGCAACGGAAGGAGGGGCGAGGGGAACACAAAGAAGCATGCTTTCGTACGATAGGAGAAACAATCTCGGAGTGGAAACCAAAAACAATGCTAACCGTCGTCCGCCGCTCACCCTACAACTCACTTTCGGGCCACTCGGCCAGGGTCTCATCCTCCCAGCTCTTCCCCCCTGCCACCCTCTTAAACTTGTTGGACGACTCCGCTTTCGCCTTGGCAACCTTGTCTTTTCCACCGGCCGCGGCCGCCGCGGCCGCCCCCCCCTCTACCCCGCTCCCAGCCGCCGAACCCCCCATACCAGGTCCGGGCCCCCCTGGCATCATCCCGTTCATTGGGCCACCGTAGCCGTACCCCATGCTGCCGTCAGGGTAGGGTCCTGGCAAACGGGGTTGCGGAGAAACAGAAGGTTGTTGGTTGAGGGGTTCGGTTACCACGGGGAAATGGTTAGCTCTCTCCTGTGTTGATGACCTCAGGTTCTGCATGAGGTAACCACGGGGAAGTGGATAGATTCCCCGTCTTGGCGACATCATATTCCGGGTGGTGCACGAGGTACTGCTGTAGGTGAACAACAAAGGGTGAGAATTCTGGCAAAAACTGACAAAAAGGCAAGGGCGAAATCAACCCCCTTACGCCAAAACTGGAGCCGATTTCGCACCCCCTCGGATTCGAGTCGGAAATCCTCGCAAGCTTACCTACTGAAAAACCAAAAGATGGTTATGATGCTGTATTTAGTACAGGTGAAACAACACCTCCAAGCTCAGAGCGCATTCTGATCTGACTTGAGCTCATCCAACCAATGAGCGGGTAAACCATGCAAGTAAGCGGGTTGTGACGGGAAAGCCAGCGGCCTTCGTGCCGACCGGAGGGTCACGGCATGACTCTCACGAAAACAGGGTACAGGAGGGCGACAGAAGAGGGTATGGGTGAGGGGAGGAAACTGGGGTTGCTAGGGGGATGGGGGGGGAGGGGGGGGGGGGGTGCAGCTGATGGATGTTCTGGAGGGGGGGGTAGGGCTTGAGAGCGAGATAAAGGATTGTTTCGGCAATGGTAACTGTGGCGGGGGTGGTCTTCTCCGTTCACACCTCACAGGCAAGAACACAAAGGAATAGGCGAGCATTTGACAGGCTCTAGAAAAAACACTTCTTGCAGCGGACACCCGAAGGATAGATAGATACCGACACCTGCAAGCTTGGCAGGTTTCAAGCCAAGGGGGAAGAAGAAGCAGGCTTCATCAGGGTCAGACTTCGAGGACATCCCACGTGTGTTACCGGACAGACAACAGAGGAGGTGGGCTTGGACTGAAGGAGGGGGGCGTAACACAGGTATGGTCCAAATACGGAATACAGGACCTCTTGTGTGATGACGTAAGCGATCGACGAGGATCTCGCACGTTATATGCGGTAACATGCCCACTCCATAGGCACACGAAAGCCTGCGGTGGATTGGCCACGCCTATCCCAGAAAATCTCAACATTGTACCTGGTCACCTAATCCACTAACTGGAAGATAGCTCACCTGGCCCTCCCATCCTAGGAGGCATTCCCATGTTCATCCCGGGAGGCATCCCCATATTCATTCCCGGCGGCATCCCCATGTTCATCCCCATTCCAGGCGGTGGCATGCCATACCCACCACCCCCCCCGAAACCAGCCATTCCACTTCCAGCCCCCATCATGCCCATATTACCCCTCATCCCCGGCGGCGGGGCCCCCATATGCATCCCGTTGTTGTTGCCCGGCATCGTGCCAGGGCCCCCTCCCCCCATCTGGGATGGGTTGTTGTGCATGTCCATGCCAGCTTGCTGTTTCGCCACCCCTCCGGACCCCCCGAAACCGACCATTTCTTCGTCGTCTTTCGAACCGGCCCCATTCGCGTCTCCCCCGTCTGCTGAGGTCCCTTCGCTTGCCCCACCCGCCCCTCCTCTCGCCGTCCCGCTCCCGTTTTTTACACCCTTTTTGCCCTTGCCCCCCCCTCCGGTCTTGGTTGTCTCTCCCTTGCCGCCCTTCCCCGAAGAGTCTGGCGGTGGCGGCGTTGTTGTTTTTTTCCCGTTCGTTGTCTTCTTACGGTTACAACATGTGTATTAGGGGGGGGGGGTACGCAGCCGAGACGATTTGGTAGGGAACCAATGACAGTCAGGGAAGCAGAGCAAACGCCACGAGACGGGGGGAGGGTAGAGAAGGGAGCGGGGGTCATCGCGGGATCGATAAGGAACCAGGTATGTATGTGCGGACGCTGCCGAACAACAAACCTTCACGTGCACGGCACTCAGTTTTTTATGCAACTCGGCAAAGGAAGGTTGACTGCTTGACCAAACGCGGTTGGGACTTGTCGGAGTTGGTTCCAAGCCCAGGAACGAACACCAGCGAAAAATATATGTACAGCAGTGCCAGGAAATGAACGACTTGAGTATCAACTAAGGGAGTACCAGGCATTCTTCAACAACGCCACGATACCCATGCCATACGACAGGAACCCTGGTAGCACGGTCAGCGATCGATGAATCGATCGATTTCACCTCCCGTTTCACTTGACAGCTGTACACACCCTCTCGCCCTCTGCAAGCTTGAGGTTCATTGGCTGCTTGCTGCGTGGTGTGCGCTAGGGTGTCGGTGTCGCTATACAGTAGGTTGGGCCCAGAAGTCACATCACACGGATAAGTGCGCCAACCTAGTATTTTCCAAGCTTGCGCTCTCTTCAAGTGGGTACCGAGGACCCCGAATCCCCACTAAATTTTACGACTGTCAGTGCGAAGACTCATGCTATCTCTCTTTCATACTGAGTGACCTCTTTTCCTCTTGAGTGCAACATACGTTGTTCCTTCCTGGACTTTGAATGGTTGAGACATGATCCACCAGCAACAAAGCGTACCTTATTGCCACCGTTCGCCCCGCCGCCCGTCCCAGCATCAGCGCCGCTCCCGTCAGGGTCCTTCTTCGCTGCCGCTGTGCCTTTGTCGCCGGTCCTCGCTTTCGGCCCGGAACCCGTGGCCCTAGCTGTTGACGCTGCAGCCACCGCTCCGGCCTTCACGGGGCGGGCGGCCGCGACAAGCTTTCCCATGAATCTAGGCTTTTTGGGGGCGGGGGAAGGGGACGCCTGTTTGCAGCGGCAAGGGAAAGCCAAGGGGGGGAACAGAGAATGAACGAGAGGATGAGTAGCCGGGGCGGAATGGTGCGTCGCCTGTGGCTCTAGCAGCCGTATATAGCAGCAGCAGGGTCGGGAAGCAGGGAGGTGGGGGAGGTGGGGGGGATGAACTACTAGCGAAACCATAGCACCGCGTGGTAGTGATGGATTATTAAGCGTGGCGAACGACTACACGCGAGCAGAGCGCAGAGTACAGTAGCTCTTGCGTTGAGAAGGTTTCGACAGCTGTGGGCCGGCTGCCCGGAGAATAAGCGGGCCCCCGACCAATATGGCTCCATGTATCGGTTGCCATTCAACGAGTTGCTGTTGAAACTACCGTAGCGGCTAGGAGCGTATTTCGGGAAAAGAGGTACAGGGGAGGGGGGGGCTCAAACAGCTTAGGCTAGCGTGGTGTGGTCTTGGAAACGAAGAGGTTCATAACTGATTGCGCGCTACGTACTTGTCGTCACCTCTGGTATAGATAACACAGCAAATTTTTTCAGTCTTTATCTGGTATGTTGCGTGAAGGTCCCTCCAGCCGCTTTTTTCTTGTGTGGTACGTGGTACTGGCTGTACCCGTGCGGAGGAACCTCCACTTTTCGACGAGAGGGACGCACACACAGCAGGCGTTATCGCTCCACATACAGAGTTGCCTGGACAGGCGGAGGATTAATTACTCTTCCCACCGGCAAACGGTGATATTGTACACAGAGCCGAAAAATAAACGCATGAAGCACGTAGTGAGCACCGCCGGGTGTGTGTACTGCGCACACCTTGGATTCCCGCGTATCCGTCCCAAGGGTTGTTTGGTTCGACAGCAATACTGCTGTACCTGAAGAATGTGCACAGGAAGCACCCATATGGCATCACGGGGACACCAGGTAGACTACATGTACATAAATCTGGATGCAAATGGCTACGTAGGTCGTCCACATGCTGCGACGGAGCACTACAATTATTCCTAATCATCTGCTATCACCCGCTGCTCTGATGCTGCTAGTGCTGTATCTGGAGGTGCAAGCAGTCATCGTACCTCGGTCTCTCCTCTTCGCTTGGTGGTATCGGCGTGGTTCCTCCCTTCTCCTCCTCCCTCGGCGTCGTCTGCTTTGACATCCCCCACCGAAGCCGCATCAGAAGCAGCACCATCATCCTCCTCCCCAGCATCAGCTGCACCTTTGGTCTCTGCTGCCACGACCGTGCTCTTGATCTCCCCCATGAACTCGGCGAAGAGAGCATCCTCGTCCGCCATTTTTGCTTGACTACTCGATAATCAAAACAAGTAAATAGGGTGGGTGCTTCGCTTCGCCTCTCCCCTGTCGCGAGAGCCGTTGACTTGGAGACGAACAACAGAAAGCAATCAAGGACAACCACACAAAGCGCATACACACCGCCTAGGTCAACGCACGAAGCCCGAAAAGAGACTAAAAGCAATGGCTAGCTAGCAGCGCAGCGGAGGAGAAGACGCGGCACTTGCTTGCGTGGCGATGCCACACATCGGCTCAAAAGGGGTAAGCATGCACCCCCCCCCTTGATCTACACAAATACTACTTGCGTGCCCCCCAGTTTTTTTTTTTTTTTCAGTCAGTGGCGGCAGACGACACGTACCCGTACCGGTTGACAAGAGACACCGAGGAGGCACACTCTTAGCACCGAGGGGGAACGAGAGAAAAACCGCGCGCGCATTCGCCAATCTCGTCGCAGAGAGACACACAGGGACGGCGCGAACCGTGTGGGGGTACAGGCGCGTGGTTGGAAATCCCGTTGGCGGATACTTTTTTACGCACGAGCTTTTTTGTCAGCATGTCCGGGTCATCTCCGATCTCTACGCCCACCGCTTTACCGCCGGCGGCGGCAGAGAGGGAAGGTCCTTCTGCCACCGATCAGCAGCACCAGCACCAGCACCAGCACGCTCACCCGTACCACCTCGAGCTCACGCCGCAGCAGCAGCATGACGCCGACCAGGCGGCCATCAAGGCGGCGGCGGCGGCCGTAGAAGCGGTCCACCGCGCTGCCGCCGCGCCTCCATCGATGTATGGGACAGAGGACGATGAAGAGGATGATGATGATATCCCGGGGCTGGAGGACAAGAGGGCGAAGCGGGGCTTCAGCAAGCGGGTTACCCTGCGGGACCTGGAGCGCTACTTCGAGTACCCGATCGAGGAAGTCAGCAAGATGATGGGCGTGTCCACGACGATCATCAAGAGGCTGTGCCGCAAGTACGGCATCAAGCGATGGCCCTACCGCCAGGTGTGTTGGTTCCCCTACTCTTCGTTTTGAGTAGGAGAGAGGAGGTCTGGCTTGGTGGGAAAAGGTGGGTACGTTCGCTGTATGTACAGCAGTAGTCATTGTGTTGACACATGCGACCCGGATCCTGTTTGCTGTTGCAGAAGATCTCAGGGTTGGAGGCAGGACACGCTTCCGCGGCCGCACACCTCAGAAAAACAAGGCGCCGACACTAAACCGCGCGCGCGTTCGATGTTGTATGTGTAGGCCATCTCGCTTCGATTGAACCACGCCACCGTCTTTTTCTTGCCTCGCAAAAAGGGTCTCGGTCCCTGCCTCTTTTCTCGCTGTCACCTGCAAGCGCCCCATGGGAAAGAGACGCATATTTCATGGGCCGTTGTGTGCCCAACCTGAACGGGCCCTCAATCGTCGGCTATACTGTGGGCATGAAGCCTTTCACGGCTGGCCTGTGTGTCCAAAAAGCTTCAAGTGTTACTGCGGTCGGTAGATGTTTATATTTTGTTGCTTATGTACAACGTACGTGTCGAAAGGAACCGCCGTGCTTGCTTCTATCTAAATAAGTCCAGTACCCAGCCGGTTTCCCTCCACTCACTGAAAAGACTCCACCACATCCCGTTCGACTGTGGGTATATCTCGAATGGGTAGTCTTTCTGTGTGTGTTTTTATTATTCCTTAATTCTATCTACCGGCACGTGCACAGATGTGATACCCTTTGCCTCATTTTTCAAGTGAAATAATTAGCGCGAGGCTGGCTGCTGTTTCCCCGCGCACGCTTGGCCGCTCTTGGAGAGGTACACACCCAAACCAACTCCTTGAAAGTGACACCGAACCAAAGCAACGTGCGCGCGTGGGTGTCGGTCCGTTATTTATATAAATAGTAATAGTGCATTCGTACTCTCGCGCTGTTGTACTGCTGTGGGCGAGGTGGGGCACAACATTCAAGACACGCACCATGAACACCTCCAAAAGTGCAGTAGCAAATACTTTAGTAGTGTAATGGAGCGTGAGGTTGGAACAATAATGATATCTCATCTCCTCTCCCTTTGTTTGGTTCGCGTCCCGGATGGAGTGTGGAGTTACTATTCCGCACCATCTTTTGGTGTACCCCCGTGCAGTATGTACATCGCTTCTTTCTTTTTTCTTTTCGTGACCTCATTTACATATCTATGCCTACTCTAAACAGCTGAAGATCAAATCCTTGGATCCTGCTTGTAGCATTGGAGGTTCCTCAGCAGCGCATGCCTTCATTTTTCAGTTTTTACAGCAGTATCTCTTCATGTTCTAGCCCGCGTCCGGCGGTCAAACTGTTCGTACATACCAACATACAACAAGCGTTCGACCTAGGGCAGTAGTCTATGCGCCCGCACTTCCCTAATTTGCGCTACCATTTGGTATGTGTTTGTCAACAGCTACAACAGCAGTCAGTACCTTATATAGTTTTTTTTATGGGGTCGGGTTCATGTTGTACACTTCGAACCCGCATGTTCTTGAGTGCGTACGTTTAACTGCTGTACGCTAAATAGACTTAAATTACCTCAGGTAAACACGAAACGCGGAATAAACACACACTGGGACTTCTCACCAGAGCCCCCAGATGATACCGTTCTCGAAGCTACGTATTCATACCGTAGGTTACATAAGATACCACACACCCTGGACCGATTTTTCAAAGCTCGATTACTCCACGACCAAGAGGATGCCGAAGGCAAGCGATACATGCTCGGAAAGTTCTTGATGGGATGGTTCCAACTCCGCCATTTTCGGCACCGTCACTTCTTGCCCAACCGAGTGAACAAGCTTTGAAAATCGGCCCAGGGGGTGTGATATCTTCTGCAACCTACGGTAAATAGATGAATAGCAACCAGACGCCCGGGGCGACCAGCATACATGCGTACTGGATTGCTGATGAAAGAACTCGTGAGCATCTGTTGTTATCGTTTTGGTTTTTCCAACAGCAGTGTATGTATCCTGTGGGGGGATGTAGTCGTTCGCCTGTGGCCACGGGAGGCGTCCGTGTCAGTTGAAATGGTGCGAATATTTGAAGGTTCTGAGCAGAGGCCGAAACAGTTTTTAGTGCATATGCAACAATCATTACAATTTTCATTGATGACCGGGCGGTGGAGGCCTGTCGCCTCGAAACGCCTTCGAAAATCGTTCGCGTATTGCATCAAGTATTGCACCAAGATAACCCCCCTGCCCGGCTTGTGTCTCTTCAAGATGCGCTTTTTATCATTGCAGCTTGTCCGGCCACTGAACCAGAACAGTATTTCTTTTAGGCGGCGGGTGGCGGGTGAACAGAGGAGGGGGTCACACACCGCAATAAACCTCCGCTCTCACCGACGTGTCCTGTCGTGATGAGTATGTTAACCTGGATCTTCTCAATTGCCATGGTACTTCCGTATGGTAACCATCAAGTGCGCTAACGCTATCTCCCTCGTGCTGCTGCCTCTCTTGCTATTCACCCCGCTTCCCTGTTGCATACATATCTAACTATTTTTGTTTTTTAGATTCGGAGCGTGAACAAGTCGATCAAGTACGTCGAGCTCCTCGCCCGCACGGCGCAGGGGGTCGACAGACAGCGGCTACAAGAGCAGCTCGTCTCCCTTCACTACAAGAAGCAGCTCATCTGCCAGGTAACGTTAAGGTTCCCTGCTGTAGTGCTTCTTAGCATGAGCTACATACCTGTGTTTGTCCGACCCAAGGGTGTTTCAAATTGTGATCGTCTGCCCTGCCGTGTGTTGCTTTGTTTTGTTGTTGTTGCCGGGGTGTTTTGCGCCACCCACAAGCAAACATGGCTTTGTGTATGCATATGTATGTCTTGTGGTAAATCTTGTTCGAATGAAGACGGCCCCCGCGAGATTCACGCGACCACTGTAGGAAGCGGCGTCCCCTTTGAGGTCTTGGAGAAATCAGAGAAAACGTGAAAGACACCGCTGCTGCTGCTGTGGACGTAATACGAGGCGGTACGCATCCCCTCCCCAAGCACGTATGCTCTGTTCTTCATGAAGTACCGTATCACTTGCTGGCTCTTGTCAGTTGTTCGGCCGATCTCATCGATCGCCATGAAGAGGCACGTAATTCCAATGCTGCTCTATGACGACGGTGTGGTTTAGCCTCCCTTTCCCTTGCCCTTCCCTTTTGCCCTTGTCTTGCGCAGGCGGCTACGACAGGAGCATCCGCCAAGGTGCGAAAATCCATCCTGCAGATGCGGCCCGAGGAACTGGACGCAGAGACGCTTCTCCGAACGGGCGGCGGTGCGAGTACCGGAGGCGGGGCAGGAACCACCGCCGCCGCCGCTGCTGCCGCTGCTGCCGCCGCCGCCGCCGCCGCCACAGAATTCGGGGACCTAGGGAACCCCACTAGCCCGCTAGCCGCGGCGCCGGGCGTTCAGCAAGAGGAGGCGGGGTCGGCGGGGGGGGGAGAGGCCAGTGCCGGCGGGGACGGGGCATACGGGCCGGATATTCAGGCCATGGAGGAGGCGGCCGCAGCCGCGTCCGCAGCTGCTTCCGCCGCTGCGGCAGCCGTGGCGGCGCAGAGCCCGTACGGCATGCCGCCGCACATGTCGATGGCGGGGATGGGCATGGGGTACAGCCCGTACGTGCACATGGCGGCGGCCGCACAAGCGCAGCAGCAGGCCATGGCACACCACCAACATCACCAGCAGCAGCAGCAGCAGCAGCAGCCGCCGCAGCAGCAGCAGGGCGAAACGGCAGCAGCGGCGGCTGCCGGGGGCGGGGCAGGAGCAGCAGCGGCGGCGGCGGCAGCGGCGGCGGCGGCGGCGGGGGCTCACGGCGCCGCCCCGCCCCCGGGCTCTCCGATGCACGGGTACGGTCTCCACGCCATGTACGGGGGCTACCCCGGCATGATGGGAATGCCGTACCCGTTCCAGGCGCACGGGTACCCGGGCATGCCGGGGTACGGGGTGCCCGGGATGGGTAGCTATCCGAGTCTCGCAGCCGGGGGCGGCGACCCGACGTTGGCGTCGTCGTCGTTCGGTATGAATGGGATGAATGGGATGAACGGGATGGCGGCGATGCAGCTCGCGGCGCAGTCGATGCACCAGCACAGCCACGACCAAGCCGTGCAGGCTCAGGCTCAGGCTCAGGCTCAGGCCCAGGCCCAGGCCCAGGCCCAGGCTCAGGCCCAGGCTCAGGCTCAGGCTCAGGCGGCCGCCCAGGCCGGGATGGGGATCCACCACCCCCACCCTTACCACGACCCGAACCACCCGCAGCACCAGCAGCACATCGACCTCAACCAGCCCCACGAGGTGCAGAGCCACCAGCTGACCTACCACCAGCACCACCTTCACCAGAGACAGATGCAACTTCAGCAGGAGGCAGCCGCTGCCGCAACGGAGACGACCGGCGCAACCGCCAACGCCGCCGCTGCCACTGCAGCCGCCAACGCCGAGGCTTCCGGCAGTGGTAGTAGCGCACCCGCGTCGCCTGGATCGGGATCCAATGGAGAGAAGGCTGCATCACCTCCCCCCCAGGTATGTACATGGTTGGTCGATCTTTGAACGCCGTCGTGGGCGTGTGCAAGCATGACAGCAGCGCTCCCCGCCCAACAGTGTGCCTGCCGAAAACGGAACCGGGTGCATGGGAGAATAGGCCCCTCGCTTCTACCCTGGTACTTGAGGACGGTCGTGCCGACGGCCGCGGGAGTTGTTGTTGTCGTTGTCGTTGCAAACAGTGGACGGCACGAGCGGAGCACGATTGAGCAAGCACCTAACCCTCGGACTAATTAGATACCCCGAGAGCCCGCGGCTGCCTCTCTCAGGGTGCGGGCGCGCGCGCCCGATCACCAACGCAAGTTTGCTTTGCGACCTCTTGACACGGCACCACCTGACTCCTTCTCTCTCTCTCTCTCTCTCTCTCCCTCCCTCTCTCTCCCTCTCTCTATCCCGCTCCTAAGGAAAACGGCCACTCGGCGTCAGTGTCAGTGTCAGTGTTTGACAGCCACCGTCCGGGGGCGGGGACCAGCCAGGCGGGCGCATCTGCTGCTGCTGTTGCCGCCGCTGCGGCGGCCGCTGGCGCTGATGACGCTGGCGCAGCCGCCGGTGTTGGTTGCGAAGAGCAGGGCAGTGCGGTTGAGGGTGCTGGTGGCGATGCTGTTGCAGGGGGAGGGGATGGTGGCGAAGGCTCGACAGAACGGGACTTTGGTGCTGACGCAAACGGAGCCGGAGGCTCTGCGTGACGAGAGCGCTGCGACCTTGTTAGTAGATGCGTATGTTTTTCTGTTTCCGTTCACAGCAGACAAGGATTATTACGGCTACATGGCTGGTTTTTGTGGTAAGTATCGTGTTTATCGAAAGCAGAAGGGAGGGGAGGGGGCGGGGTCTTCCCCCGGACGAAATGCGGCGTTGCTTTCTGATTGGGCGTGACGGGCCCTTTGTCTTTACGCCTGTGCTGATTCCCCTTTGTGGGGGGAGAAGCTCGCGCGTGGTGCCGACTAAATACCTCGTCGGCTTTTGCTTTTAAGTTAGTAGGGTTGGCTTGGTGTTGCCGCCAGGTGGGGGGGGTGCTGCACCGGATTAGGCTGCGACCGCGTGCGTGTAGATGGTGTGCAGGACTGCAGTTTGCAGATGTTATACAATAGACTTTGGAGTTGGGGTCGTTCGTCCCCGTAAGGGCATCGTCGTCGTGTTTTTTTTGTTTTTTCTTCCACCAAAGTTGTCCGGGTACACGTGCAGCGCGGCTATCTCGGTGGTGCTGTTCACATCGACATCGCCGATACCATGGTGTGTTCTTGGCCGCCATAGCCGTGTGCTTCTTCGAGCTACGGCTGGGGCGTATGTGCACGGATTTTTTCTTGATAGGGTGGCCTCTTTTTTTGGTTACCGTTGGGTCTTGTATTGTACCAGGTACGGAATAGAACGGTGGGATACATGGGTTGGTTTTGGTCCTCGAGACCCCTGCTGTTTTGGCGGGTCTGTTGGATGGTCTGTTGGGTGGTCTGTTCGGTGGGCGACAAGGACGAAACTTTGTTGTCAAAACGCTTTGCAGTCCCGTGCGGAGCAAGAGGCTGCCATTTTTGTTTTTATTTTTTCGTTGTACCCGTGGTCCGCAGCCTGCGTCCGGGCGTGGGTCCTTCGAGGCACGTAGTGACCTGTAGCCTGCAGCTGCGCCTTTTGCTGCTGCTGGCCGGCTGTCGTTGTTGTTTTCTCCGTATACCTTTATTTCGGGGGATGCTGCAAGCACAGAGAAACACGTCGGGTGAATGAAGGCCCGTGCCATCTGACTTCGGAGTGGCGCTGGCTGGGTGGGTGCGCTTGTGAAGCCGGAGGGGGAAGGCGTTGAGGGCCATCGCTCGACCTTCTTGTACCCCTGGCGAACGGAGGCAGCTGAAGAGTTCGCGGTCCCTTGGGCAGAGGCTGTAGTGGAGGCTCATCACGTGTATCCGTTAGCGCTCTCCGCGGCACCATGCCAGGCGAGAGGCAGACAGGAGCGGCTAAGTTAAAGGAGAGTATCGGGAGCGATACCAATTCTACATTGAGAATGCAGTGCCGATGGCGTGCATCGTTCTTAGCTTGCTGGGTGTGTCTTTGATTGCCCAACTACTACAGTACTACTCTGGGTGTGGCAAATATAGCCCTTGGATGGACCCGAATTCTCAATTGTGTTTTGTAGGTCGTCTCAGAGTGCGTTTTATCTTTTCATGTTCACGGCAATTTTGTTGTAGGTATGTGAGTGAGTGGCCACTTTGCTCCCACCCGTAGTAGTTGCTCCTCCCCAATAGTCTAGAGTGTTTCTGTTATTCGCCGTTCAGGTTCCCGGCACAAGCTAGCAGTTGGGTGCATCGTTGGTTATTGGCGCGGGAAAACATTTGTTCGGAAAGCTGTTTCTTATCACCACAGAAAATGGAATGTAGAATGGTGTTTTTTTTTGTCGTTTTGTTTGTGGTTCTGCAAGTTGAAAAAGTGTCAATGTTACCGTGCTTGACCAGCACACGAGTACCTCTTATGGTACACCATTTTGCTTCGTTCTGGAACGAAAACAACGGCAAGCAGCAACAACAACAGCGGTACATCGTGCTCCGTTGTTGCTAGTTGCGGTAGGTGGCGCACGAGAGAATACCCCGCTCCACCAGCAAGTTATGTGGCGCTTGGTTCGAGGGAAGGCTTGCATTATTGTGCTATTTAACGTCTTGTCGAGAAGAACAGCTGACGAGACTAATAGCTTTAAGAAAACGCGTAAAAGAGGCGGCACGTGTCCCATGGAGCGGCGACACGTGCGGCGGTATGAAGCGTTCTCGGAGACATGCTCGGCTGTGGGGACGTGATGTCACATTCATCCAACGGTTGAAATCGTTTCAAACCCACCCCGTCTTAGGAAACATAAATACAAACACAGAAAGACCACCCCTTCGAGATATTCCGTTTGTAAAAAGCGTGGACTTGCTTTGTTTCTGCACAACAACAAAGACTACGCTAACCTGTGAGGCGACCTGTGGGGACGTGATGTCACATTCATCCAACGGTTAAAACCGTTTCAAATCCACCTCGTCTTCCGTTTGTAAACAACGTGGACTTGCTTTGTTTCTGCACAACAAAGACTACACGCCAACCTGTGAGGCGAGCGATATCGGTCGATGGAAGGCTGCTTTGAGCTCTCAAAAAGATCAGGTTGTTTTTGAAACACTTTTCTTTTAGAAAGAAAGCAGCTCCCTAGCTCAAAATAAATGTGTCCTCGTATGCGCTTCGTGCGAGCCGTCGCGTGAGAGACTGCCTGGTTCTTTGGTAGAGAAACGCCAACTATTTAATCTAGTCTCACGTTTCAAAATCGCCATGCCGTCAACTCGCCGAGATAGTTCCGCATGATATCTTGCGTTTCAACAGCTTACAATGTAGCCATCCTCCGCAACATCACCTATCTATTTGGTTCATCTATCTCATGATGTCGGGCCGTTGTTAACGATCATGTGTTTGCCTTCCAACGGTACGCCAATCCTCCGAAACATGACCTGATCGGTTCATCTCTCTCGTGGTGGAGAACTGTTGCAAACGATACGAAGAACGATGCCAATGGCAAGTGGACAAAAATAGAAGAATATTTAAGCCACCTATCACAGCGGAACTATCTCGAGTTGCAGCATTGATAGGCGCCTATCAATAACCGTGCCTCCTAATCACAGCTGGAGATATCGCTCTCTCGCCCTGTATTCAGGTCGCCGAGTTGCAGCATTGATAGGCGTTCGCCCAAAATAATATTAGACCACACCACACACGAAAGATCGAGGCCCAGCCTTGTGGACTGCCATACAAGAAAACGATGAGCACATGGCCTGGCAAGAGGTCGACGATGGGGCGGCTGCCACCCGCGAGTGGTGCAATGCAGAGATAAGCTACCTTCAAAAACCGCTCATCTATCCTAAAGCACCACTCAAAGACACATCTACAATATACCGTACGTTGGCTAAGTATGCATACGTGCCCACCCCCAGCACCCCTCCTACTAATGAACCCGAATAAACACTTCACAGGATCAACCTTTCACGCATTTGAGAGGTACGAGAACCAAGCATGACCAACACCGGGCACATAGATCGTGGACTACGAAAAACTGCCGCGGGTTCATCGCCCAATCCATCCTGCGGACAGAGGTGAGATCGTTCTAAGGGTTGTAAGAAAAAATAAAAGTAAATCGTAAACATACACTCTGTCCTGTTGACATCTCCCCCCGGAATGACCGCCCACCACATAAACACGCATGCATGTGTCGTTTACCCTATAACCCTAACCCCAAACCCGACCCCATATATGTGTCGCTCATTTTTCTGCTTCTGTCTTATCCGGACGACGGTCGTCTACCACGATGCACAGGGGGAACCTCACTTTCGACACTGTCAGTCCGGGTACAAAGAAAGAGCTCCAGCCACCTAGACAACCAAAGAGAGCGAACAAATCCACCCCCATCCCGTGCCGACAAGGACACAAGGACATCATCACGAACGAACGATGCCGATGGCCAGACAATCGTGCCAAAGCACCCACCCGTGCACAAGGCCGTGCACAAAAGAAAAAAAGCAAGACGCGCGGTGGCGTCATCGACCGAATGGTATGTAGACTAGCCCGTCCGCGGTGTACAGTAGCCCGGTCGAAATGGCCCCCTTCCCCCTTCCTTCCGTTCCCTAGTCGTGCGTTATCAGCAAACCCCTGTACGAATACCTGCATACTACATCACTTCGCCCGCCAATGTAAGGCTCGGGTTGATTATTGTCAGACAGAGAGGATTCTTGACAAACACGCCCCTTGTCCCCCCTGAATTGAGAAGCCTCTACGTCGCCACCCCCTCTCTTACCATAATTTTACAATGCAGAAAAATACAGCGCCTTCTGCCGCCAGCAGAAATCATCTCTTTATCTGATATCTCGAAAAACTGAAACAGGACAAGCAAATGAACCAAATATGACGGACATCAGGAACGACCTTCCCATGACTTACGGCCTAACTCTTTAATTTAGCTGTCGCGTCTATTCTTTCCCCTTCGTCGCCAATAAAATATTTTGCTCTCGCCGGCCAATGGGCCACCCCATGCAAGGGGAACATGGTGGATGCTACACAATGCGCAGAGGCCTCCGACACGTGCAAGGTCAACAACAAAACAACAACAACAACAACGGCATCATCACTTCTTGCTCGTATTGTTGCACGCCCGTATCACGCCATTCAAGCCGACCTCCAACACGATCGCTTCCGTGAGGCGGCCGCACCTAAAGGCAACGTCCCCCTCGTCCGCGATTCCGACCGTCACGAGGTTGCCCAGCCGAGAAGCCTTCAGCAGCTTCTGCGCGGGCACCTTGGTCTTGTGGAAGGTGTAGGGGGGAAGCGTGCCGCACCAGCAAAGGAAGCCCTCCTGCATGTACAACACGACACGAAGTGGCGGGGGGCAGGCACGTAAAGTGAGCGAGATTGGTGGCCATGAGACAAAAGCCGCAGTGGGGGGGGGGGAATCACAGCGAGGGGGGTCGAAGTCACCGAGGGAAGCGGGATCATTCCTGGACGGTGTAGTTTAAACTACCTGTCGTAATGTGGGGGGTGGGGGGGGGGGGGGGTTCACCCCCCCCCCCGGGTGGGGGCGGGAAAAACCCCCACCCCCGAACGGGGTGGCCCCCCAAGGGTGAAAACTGCAAAGAAAACCCTATGCTGGATGGATAAGAAGGGGAAAAAAGGGCCCCCGGGGAAAACCAATTTTAAAGGGGGGGTTCCTCCCCAAACAAATGGGGGGCCAAAAAACCCCAAATACGTTTACCGAAAACCCCCCACGAAAAATTTTCCAAAACCCCCTTTTTGGGGTTGGGCCCAGCCTGGGTGTGTTGCAATCCCGCCTGGAAAAAATTGGGCTGGGGGGGGGTTTTTGAACTCCACCCCCCCTAAAAAAAAAACCCAAACCGGT